AGGGATTGGGCAGGGGCAAGAAATTTGTATTTTTGCTGTTTTGTACATTTTACTTTTCAAACCAACATGATACTAAGGAAAATTTATTTTAAAAAGTACTCACATTCTCACCTTAAGTAGGGCAGCTTTAAAGCTTTTAAAAGCTCTAAGCAGACAGCTTTTAGAGCTATACACCTCTAAACTGGACCTGTCACTCACTAAACGATCTACTACTTGATTTTCATCAAGTAGTCTAAGAGAGGACCCACAATAATGTATTCTTGTAACTCCAAGATGGGCCAGTGAAATGGCTCAGTGAGAAGAGCCACTTCATCCCAGGACTTATGACAAGACTTCAAGCTCCAGACCCTACAAGGGGGCAGGCAAGAAAAGCAACTCCCTAGAGCTGTCCTCAGAGAGGACAGCTATATCTACACACACACACACACCACACACACACACACACACAGAAACACTACATGGTGATGCTGATGCTGGTCCATCACCACAGTTTGAGTACCAAAGTGCTAGGGCAGAGTCTTCCAACTATGCTTTATGAAAAGTAATGTTTTGCAAATTACCAAGTACCAGCAGCCATTAAATGTTTAATGATACTTTAGTTTTTTAAAAAAATACTGTTGGGCCCTTTCTTTTGCTTTTGGAGAATTTGCTCTTAAATATAAGTACCAGACACTTATGTTTAATAAGATTAATAAATGTACAGTATACAAGCTATATATCATGGGCACTGTCAACACACCCTCTTAATTCAGATGATATCAAAATATGGCAGGAAAGACTGCTTGGTAACGAGCACAAGATGTTTGGCACTGTCCTGGATAAGCAGCACTTAGCAGCTGGCATCTCTGCCAGATTGTCAATTGCAGGGGCTGGCAAACTTTCTCCACAGGGCAGACCATAGGTTTTCTATCCTAACTACTCAGTTCTGCCAGTGCATCACAAAAGCTACCACAGACAACATGTATATGACTGGGCCTAGGAGGCCTAATAGAACCCCTAGTCTACTATACAACATCAGTTAACAATATTGTAGTTTGTCTGAAATTTTCCAGGGTTTTCAGAAATTGTCCTATCTAGGTATAGTGATACAAGCCTATAATTACAGCCTTTGGGAAGCTGTTAAATGTACCTAGATTCTTTATATCATTTATTTTGCCTGTTTTCAATTTCACAAGAGTACTGCCTTGTTCAACCTCAGCTCCCAACACAAGGTAACTTTCTAGCCACTCTGCTCCTTTCTATAAAGGAAAAGTGTGCAGTCTTCATCTGGAATGCACAAATCGGCCTTATCAAGCAAGCAGAATTGCAAGTCTGGAGTCTGAATAATGAGTCACCACCATCTTCTCAAGAAAGAATAATGGACACACTTTAATGCTAACAGCACTTAGGTTTTGAACATAACTATACAACACCAAAAAATATTTTCTTGCTGGCATGGTTAAAACAAGTAATGCTAAAAATGAATCTTGAAGATTTTAGATGTGTAAATGTTTTTATATTTAAAAAGGCAACTATTGTTGAGGTTTCTGTACACACAGCTATGAGCTCAATACACATTAGCTAATATCATGAGGAAACTAGACAGGCTTTGATCTCATTTCTAAAACAAAGAAAATGTTATTTCTAAGGTCCACGTTTAAAATTTCTTTATATTTTTTTCCAAAAAAGCAACAGTTTGGACTTCTAGATGTTCTCTTTTCCAGTTTTCTCCTTCTGATGTTTCCTATTCCAAGGGGGGAAAAATCCAATCCTTACATTATAAGCTGCTCTCACTGAAGTCCAGGGATCTTTTCTAAACCATGTTCACACATGCTTCAGCATATAAAGCACCCGTGCACACCTCCTCCTCCAACCTGAGCTACAGGTGAAGCACACGTGTAAAATGAGTGTACATCACAACACCATATAAACGAGAAAAGCTGGAGCAGGAGAGATGATGACTTTCAAGTTAAGAGCACTGGCTGCTCTTCTAGAGGACCTGGGTTCAATTCCCAGCACTCACATGGTGGCTCACATCCAGATAATCTGATACACTCTTTTGGCCTCTGAGGACACACATGTGGTGCAGACATATATGCAGGTAAAACATCTATAAACATGAAATACATTTTAAATTCACAATATAAAAAACCAAACACCTGACCTGGATCATTATATATAGAAAGAAAAGAGGAATTTTCTTCCCTTTTTTTCTTTCTTGTGTGTGAGTATGCTAAGAACAGACCCAGAGCCTTGTATATAAAAGTAAAGTACTAAACCTCAGAGCAACAAACACCCTCAACCACTAATTCTAGTTTTTCATTTTAAAAAGTCTCATACAATAAATTTTTATATTGTTTTCCCTCCCCAACTCCTCCCAGATTCTCCCCCATCTCTCTACCCATCAAATTAAAAACACCAATAAGACAAAAAAAATACCAAAACAAAGCAAGTACACACACATGCGAAAGAAGGGAGAGAGGGAGAAAGGGAGGGAAGGAAAGATGAAATTCATTTATTCAGGGGGCCTTCCCTGAAGTGTGGTTGAAAATTATTTTTTTTTCGCCCTTAAATAGTTGTTTATTGGCAGTGGGCTGGAAGGGATGGTAGAATTAGCATTCGCAGACAACACCACACCAGTCACAAGGCAGCAAGAGTGATGGATGGGAAAGCCTGAAGGCCCCCTCTTCAAAAGCAAGTGGGTAGGCGGAGGCCTGGAGTGTTGATGGGCAGCCTTGGATCACCTCTGCTTAGTAGGCATGGTTAGAGATGAAGAGAGATTCGCTGGCTGCGGCTCCAGACTGACCACTTGGGGTGTACTTTCCTTGACAAGCAAGGCTGTTGGCCAGGGCTCGCTTGATGAAAATTATTTTTTTATGCTCAGTCATACCACAACAGCATGTGCTCAACTATGTCCATAGCAACATTATTTGTCATAGCCAGATCCTGGAAACAACCTAAATGCCCCTCAACTGAAGAGTTTGGATAAAGATGTGGTATATTTACAAAATGGAGTACTACACAGCAGAAAAAAATGACAACTTGAAATTTGAGGGCAAATGGATGGATCTAAAGAACATCATATTGAGTGAGGTAACCCAGACCCAGAAAGACAAGAAAAGACATAAAGCAAAGAAAACCAGCCTACAATTCACAATCCCAGAGAACCTGGAAAACAAAAAGAACCCTAAGAGAGACACACATGGATCTAATCTACATGGGAAGTAGAAAAAGACAGGATCTCCTGAGTAAACTGGGAGCATGGGCATCATGGAAGAGTGTAGAAAGGGAGGGGGGAGGAAGGGAAAGGAGTGGAGAAAAATACATAATTCAAAAAAATAAAAACTAAAAATTATCATTTTAATGTAAAGTTTCCAATGAAATTAAAAACAAAACTGACAAGAAAAAAAAAGAAAATTATTTTCCATTCCCAGCAGGTATTAATTGAAATAGCTTCTTGATTAAGGTGGAACTTTATGTCCACCTCCCTTCTTAGTGTTGGGACTGTGTCTGGTTTGAATCTATGCGGTCTCGTGTGTGCCTCAGTCTGTCAGTCCTGCTGTGTCTGAAAGCCTCTATCTCTGTGAAGTCACTCATCTCTTACACACGGATCCCTGTGCCTTGAGGAGAGGGGTTTCATAAGGACATCCCATTTAAGGCTGACAGCTCTAAAGTTTCTCACTGCATTGTCCAGTTGTGGATCTGTCTTAATTACCATCTACTTCAAGAAAAGAATCTCTGCCTATATGTGAACTACACATGACGTTTTAAGTTTAGTTCACATTAGACTTTAGCAATGAGGCTTTTTTTTTATCACTTTGTTCTTGAATCTAAGAATATCCTTTCCCAGGATTATTTTTTTTTTTTGTCCTCTGTATGTTCTGGTATTCTAAATTTCCTTATGTAAGTCTACAAGTTTATATCAAATAGCACTCACAATATGCTCCCACCCCCAGGTACCCTCTATCCTGCTTGAGGATCAGGATTTACGTTCCACTGCTCCAGTGCCATGCCTGCCTGCTGCCATACTCCCAGCCATGATCACAGACTGAAAGTCTTCATTTATAAGCTGCCTTCTTCACCATGTCTCTTGCAGCAATAGAAAAGTCAACTAAGACAAGTAAAAATGACTTAGAAACACTTCTCTTGCTATTTCAAATTTGCCATCAGTCATCTGAGACTAACTAGTCTCTGCTGCAAGTCCATCTCTGTACCCTAGCTCATCTACCCTATACTTTAATTCTACCTTGGGCACCTTTCCTAATGCTGATGGCAGCATTCTTAGTGAAGCAGCACTGCTCAACCTGAAATTAAAGGGGAATGCTGCTTTTGTTTGCTTCAAAATGTTATTTTCCTGAATCAAAAAGTATACTCGGGTTTCTTTCTGGCACTGAGTGGCTGCTATGGCTCCTCCAGTTTCCACTTCCCCTGCTATGCCTTCACTCCACAGCCAAACATGTAGTAGAGGTCTCAATTGTGGGTCACACCCTGACCTGGGATGAGGGGACAGGATGGGGACACTAACAGACTCCTATCTATCCAGTCGCACACCTCAACAGATGGGAGCCTACTTCTACTCCTGGACTGCACTACCATTCAGAGAACTATCCCTGTGCAAGGCTTCAGTGAGGCCCTGAAGCAATGCAAATACAACATGGGCAGGGCCCCCTGCCCTGAAGAGTCCTAGGCTCTTACTCCAACCCCTTCACCGACAGACATAAGGAGGTTATTGGAACTGGGAGTAAGGAGAGGACTTAACACCCACAGACTAATGACATAAACATCCAATTAGATTACTTTAGAGTAGAGTGTGTGTTTGTGTGTGTGTGTGTGTGTTTATTCCACCTGCCACCAAGTGAAAGTCACTACCTGAGCTCAATCCCCAGGACCCACAGGGCAGGAGAGAATCAACTTCTATCGAGATCCCTGCTAGTTGCCTCTGACCTCTATATGTATTCTGTTGCAAGCACACAAACAAGCACACACACAATAAAGAAAAATTTTAAAAGCCTTATAAAGTATACAGTTGATATATTTATTGTATTAAAATCATATAAAACACCAATCTATACAGAGGCATTTAACACATAATATATACAATTAACTTTTAAAACTTAAAAATTTACAATGATTGTGAATATAAAATTGACATTGAAACAGTCTCCCAAAGCGATTTATTTGGCTGTTCTTGTTCGAAGTCGTCGTTTGAGAATCTGATGATCACTTTCTTTTACTTTCTGTTCCATTAAAATCTGAAATTAAGTTTTTCAAATGTAAGTAAAAATAATTTCCTTAAGTAATACACTTATGTGCTTAATCACTGACTATAATATATACATTAGAAATTCATTTTTCATCTTCTAAATAAACACATGTAAAAGAATACAGATTTGGGTTTTTTTTAAGAATACAGATTTTTTTTTTTTTTTTTTGGTTTTTCGAGACAGGGTTTCTCTGTGGCTTTGGAGCCTGTCCTGGAACTAGCTCTGTAGACCAGGCTGGTCTCAAACTCACAGAGATCCGCAAGAATACAGATTTTTAAGAGATTCATTCAACATTACCTAATTCAAGAATTAAAACAACCTACAGCCTACTGAATCCAATCCAGATCTAAGCTTGAAATAATTAGCAAAATATTTGTACACAAAATGCTTCAAATCAATTTTAGGAAATCACCATTTACAGCAATAAGGGTCTAACGTGAGAGGGAAGCACACTGTGCTCTAACTCAGCAGAGACACAGGTATCTGTAGATACAGGTATCTTTCTTCAGCCAAGAGGAGAAACCATACACTGCTCAGCTGGTGACATGTAACAGTACATGAAACAGCATGTTCTAACTGACCTGAATGCGTTCCAGCTGCCTTATAGTATCAGCTTAGGTTAGTTAACTACTATTGTGAAAACCAGTCTGTCTCTCTTCTTTCTCTTGGCCACTCTGTTAACATCCTTTAATTCTGTCTCTACTTACACTTTCATCCACTGAGAAAATGAGGACAATGAATCAGAGTGATAACAACCTCCTTTTCTTAAAAAAGCCTTTAATCCCAGATTTGGGAGGCAGTGGCAGGCGAATCTCTTGTGAATTCAAGGCCAGCCTGGTCTACAAGAGCTAGCTCCAGGACAGGCTCCAAAGCTACAGAGAGATCCTGTCTCGAAAAAACAAGGGGGAAAAAAAAGAGCCTAAACGAAGCTAGAGATGTGTGCACACACACCAATGATCCCAGCCAGGCATGTGATAACACACCAATGAGTCCAGCAACAGGGAGGTTGAGGCAAAAGGAATACTAAAAGTTTGAGGTCATCCTGGACTGCATAGTAAGAACGTTTCTCAAAAGTACAAAGAGGACTAGAGAGCCAGCTCAATGATTAAAAACATGAGCTGCGCTCACTACCCTCTAGCTTCAGGGGTTCCAGTGTTCTCTTCTGGCAGCCAAGGGTAGTGCACACATGATGCATATACATACATACATACATATAGACAAAATACTCATACACATTAAATACAAATAAATCTTAAGAAAAGAAAAACCTAGAAGGCTTATAGAGAAAAAGGTGAGAGAAAATGGTGAAATATCAGTTTTGTATTTCTAAAAAAGTACATGGGCTCAGATTTATACAACTCTTGTAATAATAAGAACACAAGAAAGAAAGCTCTTAGAAGTAAATAAATTATTAATTGTGGTATATCTATTGATGGAAATATATTACTCTGTTGAAACTTCAAATGCCACTACATGATATATGTGTGTGCGCACACACGTGCATGCGCATGCATGTGCATGTATACCTATTATCATGGTATTTATATTTAATTACTATAAGGCTAATATAAACCTGAGACCAAAAGTATAGCATCTGTCTTAAGAGAGTTACAGAAAGAAATTAAAATCATGTGTTGAATGGCACAACCATATCGGATAGGAATAGCAAAAGTCACAAAGCCAGCACACCTGCTTCACAAAGAGCAAGCAAAGCTAAACCACATAATGTCCAGCTTGTTTTGGTTTTGACCTCCACCTACTGCATACTTAAGGGACTTTTAATATTTGTACAATTTGGAGATATTGGATTGATGGAAATTTTCTTATGAATCATTTATGCCTTCTCCCAGTAGTACTTCTTCTAAGCTTCTCCAGGACAGTCCTAAGTATATACTACCCCTGCCACTTTTATAAATATCCTTATATACTTGAAGGTCTTCCTTACACCCTGAAGGCTGTGACGCACATAGAGAAGCCAGAGGTCTCTTTACGAGGCTCTGAGATATTCTTGAAACATCTGTCCCTGTACTTACTCAGGAACAAGATAATCAAAATAAAGTAAACTTTAAAAGGTCATGAAGGGTTGGCCACTGATCAGATTGCAAGCATCTTCCCACTATAGATCCAGGCCATTATGTGGCATATAGAGCAACAAAGTTAGATTAGCTGAAGTTACCTTGTCCTACACAGAGACTTATTATATTGATGAGCAAAGAATGAGAATCAAGAATTCCCTTTCTTAGAAAAGTTAGCACACGTAGAGCCATTGTGATGTCACATGAACAAAGAACAACAGAATGACAGGATTACATATATAAGCAAATTCTATAAATAAATGAAGTGCAAACACTGTATTGCACCAGAATTTATAAATTTCAGCAGTTTGGGGCTAAGGACTTTTCTTGGGCAATCTGCCTGGGCTGGCTTGGAGATTTGTTCTGGTCTGGCATCCTTGTAGTCACAAAAGATACTAGCCTGAGAACAAGTTGTCATATGCCTCCAGATTCTTGAAATTTGAGTTATGGGGTTAACGCAAAAAATGGTTATAAAAGATAACTTTATCAATGATAATTAAACTTGAGGGAAAAGATAACTCTGCTCTGTCACAGTTTATCAATAATGACTAAAAGATATGCAAGAGTAAGTAAAACACATGTCTCAAAAATGATACGATTTATGTTTTGGAATAACATGAATCTATCCCTGCTTACTGAATTCTGTATAACTAAATAAACATCTGGCTGCTAGTCAGGCAGGCAGCAGGATTCTCCAGACCACGTTGCCCAACTCACTTCTTCCCTCACCAACACTTTTCTTCTCAGGACCTGTCAACTGCTGCGGCTGCCCCCAGAGCTCGAGAGATGGTTCAAAGGTTAGGAGCACTGCTGCTCTTTCACAGGGCCTGGGTTAAATTCCCAGCACCCACATGAGAGCTCACAAACACCTGTGACTCCAGTTTCACAGGATCCAGCACCCTCTTTATAACTTCCATAGGTACCAGGCATGCATGTGGTGCATAAACGTAATCAAAACACCCATACATGTTAAAAATAAAATGATTTTAAAAAATTATAATCATAAAATTCAAGGTTACAAATACTTTAGAATTAAAAAAAAGTTTTATACTGATGAAAACTAAATAGTAGCTTACCACTTGTCCAGATATGTTGATGGGAGATGAAATCTCATTTCTGAATAATTTCCGTTTGCCTTTTTTTGGCTGAGACACATTTTCTTTACTTACTTCTACAGTTGAGAGCTTTGGAGAACTCATTGTTTCAATTATCTTTTTTGCTGTAAGTAAAAATGTTAATTCTTGTGTTAATTTTCTAACTGCAAAGGATTGAAATTCTTAATGAAGAAAAATAGAAATCAAGAAGAAAAATGTACTATACAATGCTGACAGGGCACGAATAAACAATTGATTAAAAATTCAATTAACATTTAACATGAAGTGGGGGGAAAAAGAAGGAAGTAACAGTGAGACCCTGGCATCTTTAATGGCTTGGAGGTCTCCCCACAGCCGGGTCCATCTGTGGTAAGCCTGCATTAAAAGCCAGGTGGTAAAGCCAGACCTGACACATCCAACCTAGGGTCCTGCTACCTGGGAGTCCTGCACCTGGGAGAAAGGCAGGAAGAGCTCAAGATTCAGACTAGCCTGTGCTGTATTAGGAAAACTGTCTCAAAAACTCAAAACACTAAATAAACCAAATAAATGAATAAAAAAAGTGGTAGATTTACTTTGATACTCATATATCAAGATGTTCATACGACATAATCACAAACCTTTTATATATGTATCTGTGCGTGCGCTGTATGCGAGCACACACACACACCACACACACACACAAAATTGTTAACAGTGGATAGATCTGAATAAGTAGAGACTAAACATTTTTAAATTTCCTGCTGAGACATTAAAGGCACTCAGTCAAGAAAGTCTGACAACCTGCAGTTAGCCTTGACAAAGCACTCTCTGTTTCAATTCAACTATGATTTTAGCCTTCCTTTACTTTCCCATCTCCCCCACTTCTGGTCTCTAATTTATCTTATTGGTGCCACTCAGATAATCCAACAAAACCTCTCCACACACTCTCCTCTACCTAGAATTACATGTATATTTTATACTGTTCTCTATTCTACCAGCATTAAAACTATGCCCTCTAATGAATACACACATCTGCATGTATACAGAAATACATAATACATATTTCAACAAAGACATTATACAACATGTCCACTTTATAGGTCACTGTTACTCCATGGGTCTCTGCATGAGTTCCTGCCCTAACATCCTTCAATGATGTGCTGTGATATCAAATTATAAGTAAATAAACCCTTTCCTCTAAGTTGGTATGATATATATGTGGATAGTTAATATTTACAGGTATGTAAGAAAAAACAAAATCATCACAAGGACACACAATACTAACAGTGATTACTTTCATAGGGTCAAAGGGTACAATTCTATATTTCTATGCCCACATCCCACTTCCTTCCTAAAGTTTCCCAGAATTCCTCATTATTATGATGGGTTTTCTCTCTTCTCCATAGTATCCAACCAGTTTATTTTACCTCTGCCATATTAAACAGCTTGCTCTATCTGAATAATTACTTAAATGTGAGCCTTTGTACTCCAATACATAGTGAACACCTAGGAACATCATCTTTTCATCTGACTTTTCCCACAGTATCTAGGATAAGACAATGGCTGCCTGCTCTAGGCATTAGACGAGAGCACATGCAACTAGGCAATAGAAACACCCTATGTGCATTAAAAAGGCCATTTAACTTTTCCACAAACCTTTGGATTGAAGAATTGTTGGAGAATGTTGCAAGAAGTCTCCAAATTTCTGTAGTGTTCCCTCTCTTTTTTTAGAGGTCATATCTGCACTAACTGTAGGTGCCTGGCTCCGTAAAGAATATGTTTTCTTCGATGATGGATGTAAGGAAACCTAAGAAAAAAACACTTTCTGTCACTAATAATAAAAAACACTACATGGAAACAGTTACTGCCACAGTTAAATAAAGGAACTTGGGATTAAGTTTGTGTGTTAAGATCAAAGGGCTAAGCAACTGCATAGTGAGTCTGATGCTAGAGCAAGCAGAAGTGACACAGGAAGAAATGCCCAAGTGGGCAAATGCTAAAGGTGTATCCAAATGTTAATTCCATGTGTATGAATGGAAGATAAATTGAGTTGTAATTGGACACAACTAAATTTTGGAAAACTACTATCATATCTTACCCCTATACCCCCACTTTATCAAGTAAACTACAGAGACGTTAACTGGAGCAAGGACAAACCTTTTGATCCTTTTTCAAAGAAGAATTGCTATGTTCTGAAGCAGAGAACTGCACATTATTTCTGGGTGTAGAATTCTTCTTATTTTCACATTTCACCAAGTCCTAGAAGTAATAAATTTCAGCACTGTTTACTTTCTTGATAATAATTTCTTTAGACTCCAAAAGATTTGTCTATAAATGCTACATTAGTAATTAGGATAGTTTTTCTTAAACCGAGGCAGTTTGAGGTCAAGAATTAATGCCAATGTTAGAAGATGCAGCATGGAAAGTTGAAGAGTAATCATGGGAAGCAAAAAAAAAAAAAAAAGATGGCAACTGGACCATGTTATTTGGAGAGCGCAGTAAAGAGCTTCTGGGAGTATTTACTGGAACAGAACACAGCACTTTTATAGCACTGCTGAACAGATTTTCCCAATTGCCAAAGGGCAGATTTATTATAACAATGAAGATGTAACAAAATCAGATAACATTTCACATTTCAACATTACAAAACTACAACAATCAGAAAATCTTTTCTGAGATACACATGAAGAATATATACCAGGGAAATAAATAAATTGTATTTCAGCTTTCCCTTCTGAATGCTAGGGAAAAATGTATCAAGAAAAAAAAAATCAATGTAGCTCAGAAGATAATGACATTCAAATATTTTAATCATAATAAAAATATGTCTATAAAATAAATAAGCACACAGATGTCTTCAGAAAGCTACACTAAGACTCAAGGCACTCCAGGTATCACAGAGAAGCTATGCTCACTAATACCCACTCAGGGAATGTATTGCCCGACAGCCAGGAATGGGAACTACTAATTTTGCTCTTCTAGCAGCGTGAAAACATACCACTCTTTAAAGTACAGGAAAGTTGGAGAATTTTTTTTTTTTTGGTCAAACATTTTAAGCTTAAAACAAGTAACTTTAAGGTAAATACCATCTATTATGTGCCTCTAACAGACAGAGAGAAAGCACTCATATGCTACTTTGGAGAGAACTGAGGATCAGAGTGACTCCCCACACCAATGTGGCTAAGATGCAATACCAAGTCTGGCAGCCCTACCACCAAGGAGTTGCACTAACAAGTTATAAACCTTTACCACTACTACATGAAGATCCAAATCCTAATACTGGCTGATGGAAAAAGAATTTATTTTCCAAAACTTCCCATGATCATAGACTTAAGATTTAGTTAAATGGCAAAGACACTGATCAAGCTAGTCTGTCATTTTAATTTCTCTAATTTCTTTATTGAACATTTCCCATCCCACTGAAGGTAACCTAACTAGTATGGTATAAACCAGTATACTAAAGTGTCTGGTAAAATTCACATTATCTGACCTACTACGGATGAAACGAAGTAAGGAACGAAGTAGTAAGCACAGCTTTCTGAGGACTATGAAGCTCTTGCATCATTCCTAAATATCCCTAAGTTGTGATGATGGGTCTCTAGAACAAGCAGCAGACTTAACTATAACAACAACTGAGCCTAATAACAATATTTACTTGCTAAGTTCACCCATCAGGTAACTATACCTCCTCCATTTCATTACTTTTCCTCTTCCGTGCCTTGGGAATCTTAATTGTGACGGGTGTAGCACAGCCAGGGTGCTTCACTGCCATTCTGTTTGGCTGCAAAGGTGTAAACTGAATCTCCAATTCAGGTTTTGGAAATCGCGTGCTTTGCACATTTTCTGTTGACACTTCACAAGAGTCGAGAACTACTGATCCACCCTACCAAAAGGAAAAAAAAAATGGAAAGGGTCATTTATTTTTCTAACATGGATTTATAAATGACAAAGAATTAATTTTCTCAAATTAATTGAAAGTTATTCAAGACAATGACTTGAGAAAGATAAAGGACCATGCATTACCCCAATTTTTATGATCCTAAGAGCTTTATATTTAAAGGATTATTGGATCTTATTACAAAACCTGCCAAGTCAGAAACCTCCAAGGAAGAATTTGATATTTCAAACAAACACTCAAATTACAACAGATTTAACTCTAGCAACAAATTCTTTTTGACTTTTTCCATTTAAAAAGGGAGTCTTTTATTTCTCCTTCTCTTTGATGATTCCCATGGCTACTAGACGTGACAGGAGAACATGATGGTAACGTACAATCACAGGAAGCACTGTCACTTGCATCCTGCTCCCTTGCCCACTTGGCAAGTTTTCAGGATACTTTTCCTATTGAAAATGTCCCAAATCCAAACCCAGCCACTATAGTATAAGCTCAGGCTATAAGCAGAGGTCACACATACTTCTTTTCAATTATCACTATACAAAATGAGTCACTTGGGCTTTCAACCTCATTGACAGATTTCACACAAACAGTAAAACTACACCAAAGAGAAAGTCAAATTTGACTCCTGCAAAACCATGAAATAGACAATAACTGCTACAATTATCAATAGGAAACTAAAACCAAGAGATTTTAGGACAAGTATATAAATTTATAGAGAACGTAATGTTCCATCATAGTAACTGTGAAGGTCTATTCCACCTTAACTGGAGGTCAGAGTTTGAGCTTATTTTTGTTCTTTCAAAGTTGACAACAGGTACTTCTACACACCCTGACCTAGGGTGTGGTTACTTGTTGTTTTGGATATTAAGATGGCCCATAGAGGTGGATCCTCTCCTCCCTGACCAAAGGTCAGAGAATTCAAGCCTATTCCTGCTCCTTCTTTTAAGATAGGAGGTTAGAAATAGGGAGTGGCTGCCTATAGGATACTTGGTCTAGAATGTGTTTGCTGCATATCCTGCCCAAAACATCAAAAGTTTTACTCAGGAAACAATGGTTTTATGTCTCAAGTATTGAAGCAAGCAAATGTTCTGGTTGTCCTTTGTGTTATATAAAGCAATCTTTTGCCTTCTCAGCACCCCCTTTGTATTGGGGTATAAAATAAAAGCATATGAAAATTGGAACATGGGTGGATTCAATATTCAGTATACACTGAGTAGCCCTCTTGGTACTATCCTATGTCTCTGTGTTTCTTTCACATCTCTGTTCATCCTACCTAATGTTTCTAATCCACATGCCCCTACCCTGAAACATATGAGCCCATTGTGGCTGGACCACGACAAAAAGTCACCTCTCCAAATGCTTATGACATGTGACCAGAAAGAGAAGAGCAGAAAGAATGGAAAAGGCTTTTTTGGGGGGGTGGGGGGGTAAGAACAAAGTATAATGATGTCCATGTAGAAATGCCACCACAAAAACAAACTTAAAAAAAAATGGACACTGTCTATACAGGGCTGAATAGGTGTCCAGCAGTTAAGGGTGTTTGTTCTTTCAGAGGGCTCAGGTTTGATGTCCAGTACCCACATGGTGCCTCACAGCTGTAACTAACCCCATTCCAGGGGCTCTTCTAACCTCTGTGGGCACCAGTCATGCACATGGTACACAGATATACACACAGACAAAACACCCATACACATGAAATAAAAAAATAATCTAAAAAATTGCTGTATGGATCAACTTTAAACTGTTTCGCAAACTTTTATTTGTATTAGTCACTAAAATCAAGACTAGAATACAAGAGAAAACCAGCGTGTAATTTTCCGAGAATTAAAATCTCTCCCATTCTCTAGTTACTAAGCTTCATTTCTCCCGCAAGCACAGCATGATACCATGTTCTCTAATCCACCCCCACAATATCCCAGGCAAAACACAATGTACCTTGGGGTTCCTTCTAAGGCTCCCTCATGAGTAACATCACTCTCTAATAGGAACTTGTCTCCAATATTCCTAACTCCTTGCTGATGGCAATTATGTCTCAAAATTCCCAATGCTAAGTAACTGTATTAAGTGTGTAAAGAAGAAATTTTGAAATAATTAAACTATTTTAGGTATCTAGAATATTTATGAATTCAGTAATCTAATCTGAGGAATTCTATCTTAAACACAAAACCCTAAACCCAATAAAAAAAAATGCAGTGAGTTCATGTGGCTAATAGGTTGGTGATATTTACTACAATGGATACAATTTCAAAAGAAAGTTTTGAAATGAAAACAAATAATGACCTTTATTGTATCTTTTATGAGATAGTCTATTTCTGACCATCAATAACACTCTAAAGAGGAATAAAAGCCAGTGAGATGATCTGAGCTTGGTCACCACAGACTACATAAAGGTGGCAAAAGAGAATCAGCTTCACCAAGCTGTTCTCTGACCCCCACATGTGCTGTGTGGCAAGCATACTACCCATCCAAAAAAAGACTTTAAACTAAAAATAATTAAGTAAATAAGATAAATGTAATTTGGGGGTCTAATTTCTCAAGAGCCTCTACATTTCCTTCACATAGCTGAGCATATACATAGCTAATTATGTAGCAAGGTACCTGTTTGATTACATTATACGTGCAAGTGCGGATGAATAGCAGGTAAAGAGAGCAAAGAACTGGTGGTATTATTGATTACCAACCTCTGCTGCATTCCTAGAAATTTCAAAACTTGTTGATTGAGGTTCAGTTTCAACTCCACCAAGATCAAATGAACCATTATGTTCAGGCTTGACATTCGTGGTTTGGTTTTCCTGAAATAAGAAAATCATTTTTAATATGAAAATAAACACGTATCACAGAATTTCAAAAATTAAGACTTGTACAGACTAATTATTAGAAATGCAGACTTCAATAAACCACTTTTCATTTCTTCAACATTTTCACCTTTAGACTAGGGAAAGGCTGGACATCTTACCAGCCTTTTGTGAGTCAGACACAGATGAGATTTGAAAAAATAAATCCACTTGCCATTCTACTTGTTCTGACTGTCTAGCTAAGTTTGAAAGAGTCACTTTTAGCAGGACATAGCACTAAATGGTTGTGATCTGCATTCAGGAGACTGGAACTGGATGATCAAAAGTTCAAGGTCATAGTAAGACCCTACCTCAAAATGCGCAAAAAAAAAAAAAAAAAAAAAAAAACCCAGGCCTGATAGGGTGGTACAGCAGGTGAAAACTACTGCATCTCAGGCCTCATAGCCTAATATCTTTGGAAGCCATGCTAAAAGGAAAGAAATAGGACCCCAAGGGTATCTTCTGACCTATGCAGTAAGGGTGGATTTGTCTCTGCATGGCCTCTATTTTCTGAACAGTGACAGACCTAACTATGTTAAACGGCAGAGACAGAACTTAGCTGGAAATAGACCCTCAATTTTCCATAAAATAATTCTTGAAAAACTATATGGTTTAGCAAGTAAAGACTCATACCACCAAGCCATAACAGACTGACGTTAAGTTTGATCCCATAACCTACACAGTAGAGGGTCCTATGGTTATCCTCTGACCTCCACAAACATACTGTGGTCTGTATGTGCATGTGCATGCACACACAAACACTAAAAAATAAATAAATATCTGTAAAATAAAAAAGTAAAACACCTAGAGGCTACTTAGTAATGCAACCACAGCCTTAAGAATAGAAAGAGAAAATAGTAACAAATCTTTTCCAAAAAGCCATTCTTCATGCCATTTTCCTATAAGATAGGACATATTCCAAAACCTTACTTATGTGACTCCTAAAGAAATATTACATGTTTAGTTTAATAAATGCTCATGCTTATCTTAGCACAGCCATCAGAAGGTCCCATGTCATCTCTTTAGCACTAGCGACTAACAGATTCCACTACATTCACAATGAGGACAGAAACTCACGAGCCAACACTGGCTTCCCGGGTGATACGAACTGTACTAATTTCTTGAGTCTAAGAGACAGTGATCCCTATCTTATTGATTAGTTTATCTATTTTGAGATAGTCTCACTATGCAACCCTGCCAGGCCTGGAGTTTGCTATGTAGACCAGGCTAGCCTCAAACTCACATACATCCACCTCTCCCTGCCCCTTCTCCCCGAGCTCCAGGATTGTGCACCATAACTGGTACATTACTCATTTTAGATAGCTGAGAAATGCTCCAGTATTTCCTACCAGGATCCTATAGTCATAGTTAGTGATTAGCACTCAACACCTAGCTTTTCTAACTTCCTGTTCTGTGTTAATATATTATACAGTATATTATAATATTATATAGCATATTAACATGATACTACCTCTTTTTATAGGAAGGTTTTCTTTCCAAATAATCACTAAGTGATTTAATGCATAACACACATAAACATATACACCACATGCATGAAATCTGGTTCTATAACCCAGGCAAGCCTTGATCTTGCAATCCTTCCACCTCAGTTTCTAAAATGCCAAGAACTCTGGTATGCACAACCATGCCTGACTAGAACAGCAGATTTGCTTGTTCTGCAGTACTTTGAACTAAATCCAGAACTTTGTACACACGCGTCAAGCCTTCCAACACTGAGCTACACATTCCCCAGACTTATTCATTCAGAAAGTCTACCTTCAAATACGCCCTGACTCTGTTTATCAGAATGTCGCTATCCACAAAAGCACAAGCTCTCCAGTTAGGATTTTCAACACCACCTACAACTCACAATGCCTCCCCATCACTAGACTTACTTTAAAAACATTTTGTATCTTCACATACTAAACTAAGAGTTGGCTAGACTGGGTGCATTGGTGGTACATGCCTTTAATCTCAGCAATGATAGGTATATCTCTGAGTTCCAGGACAGCTAAAGCTAAAATGAAACCACCTCAAGTTGGCTTTAATTAATTAAATTTAATTAAGGGTAGGTCCAATTACTTAAGTGTCACTAAAATTTCAAGCTCAACTATATTTCTACAATTCCAGGATGAGGATTAAGATAATCCTAAATTGCAAACTTCCTAACTATTTTAATCTGGGAAGCATGAACAAGCTATTGAGAAAAAAAATGTTATGTTTTGGTCATTGATGAATCAACTATAACGATAAACCTGAAAATTCAAAAACCATGAAAAATGGTATCAAAAATGTTCAAGCTTTTGGTTCTTCCTGATGTAGTGAGTAAATAAGTTGAGAAGTAATTTTAAAGAAGTATCATCTCAACAAGGAAGTATAGAAGGAGTGAGTGCACTGACTGGCCCCGAGCTCTCTGCTGCAGCCCTTTTCAGTTGCTGGATTTCCTCGTCCTTGTGCTTGCTGCTGGAGAGCAGCGCCTTCATCTGCGCCTCAACGGCAGTGACCAGCTGGTCCCGCTCCTCTCTCCACTTCTGAAGGTCACCAGTTTTCTCTGCCAGTTGTGCTGTCAGGGTTTCCTAGTCAACAAGCACAAACAATAGTGAAGTATAATGACGTAGGCAAGAAAATACCAAAAATGGAACCCATCACCTTGGTCCCTAACTTAAAAAATTAATCTAAAACTTTTAACATAAATTTTTATAATGAATCTAAGAATGCTTTTGCATTAAATATAACATGTTGAATATAGAATATACTTTGCATTTGTGTGTAGATAAAATGCTTATAAAATGGGAAGGGGATACCTTACAAAAAGACAACCTGCCCACAAAAAGAATTAGAGTAGCTTTAACAAACCAAGGAAAAAGATAAACTATATTTAAGCATCAGTGCTACCAACCACTTCAATCTGCAGCTTTAAACAGCGCTCCCTGTCTTCAGCATATTTTTTCATTTCTCTATTTCGTAGATTTTCAGCTTCTTTTGCTTGAGTGGTAAGGATGGCCTTTTCTTCTAACCACTTCTTTCTATCAGCTTGATATTTCTCTTCAGATTCCTAAAGTAAAGATGATAAAAGCTATTTTCACATGGCTAAGTAGTAAGTTTCAATATTTTGATGCAATCTACCCATTATTACCATTTTGTTTTTTGTTTTTCGAGACAGGGTTTTTCTGTAGCTTTGGTTCCTGTCCTGGAACTAGCTCTTTGAGACCAGGCTGGCCTCGAACTCACAGAGATCTGCCCACCTCTGCCTTCCGAGTGCTGGGATTAAAGGTGTGTACCACCACACCGCCTGGTAATTCTTTTTTAATATAAGAGGTTTTTTTTTTTATGTATACAATAGTCTGTCTTTGTGTATGCCTGCAGTTCAGAAGAGGGCACCAGACCTTATTATAGATGGTTGTGAGCCACCATGTGGTTGCTGGGAATTGAACTCGGGACCTTTGGAAGAGCAGGCCATGCTCTTAACCACTGAGCCATCTCTCCAGCCCATAATTATAAAATAAGATTTCTTTTATGTAGCATATGGTTATGTTTCAATGTTCAGATATACAACTCTATTCCAATCAGTAATCAAATATGGAAAAAGTTATCAATAATCAAAATAATTCTCCCAATGGCCATCTTCTCCAGTGCAATATTTGCTAGGTAAGAAATGGAATAGGAAATTAGCGACAACTTGAAAATTACATACACATTATCAGGGAGTGGACTAAAGTACTAGCGGCAAAATCCTGTCACCTCAAAGATAGACCTAGAACCCAAGCTTTAAAATAAATATACATGGTGACAGACATCTGCAATCCCAGCACTCCTGTGGCAGAGAGAGAATTAGCACAAACTAATGAAACAGCTAGTCTGAAGAAGCTGCTTAGTAGCCAAAATGAGACTCTGCCTCAACAACTGCTGAAAGTTGTCCTCTGACTTCCACACACGCACAAAGTCAATTACAAATATAAAACATAAAATTGAGGACACAATCACTGTGATTTCTTTGGCTCATAATAAATTATGTCTTGGGAATTTTCCCCAGGATATTTTCAAAGTGCACTGAAAGTTTCTTCTCTATTTTATTACTAAGCACCATGTATTATTTCACCCCACAAAACTAGCTATAAAATACCAAATGCTGAGTTATCTTATCAGAAATACAATGGCCAGAAAAGCGGGGGAGAGAGAAATGTTACTACCTGCAGCTCATCCTGAAGTTTACTGAGCTTCTTCGTAAGTGCGTCTGTGTCCTCCACAGGGTCTTTATTTGACCTTTCACTACTTCTAGCTTCTAGATCTTGGAATTTTTCTTTCCATTTATCCAATTCTAATTTTAAAATACATACAATGTTATGGTATGCAGCAATATGTATGACTGGTCATAAATAAATAAATAAACAAACAAGCAAGCAAGCAAGCAAGCAGAGACCAAACACAGACCAAGACGAGACTAAAATTATTCTAACAGCTGAACTTTAAGCCATCTCACCAAATTCTTTAAGATTATTTTATTTGTCTCTTTTTACATGTACGCATACATGTGTGTATATGTATCACATATGCATGGTGACAAGGAAGTCAGAAGAGAGCATCAGATCCCCTGGACCTAGAGTTACTGATAGTTGTAAGCTACTGTATGGGTACTGGGAACCAAACCCAGGTCCTCGACAAGTACAAAAAATGTTCTTAACATCTGAGCCATCTCTGCAGTTTCCCTCACCAAATCCTTAGTGAAGAGAAACTACAGGGATTTCTCATGTGCCCAAAGATTATTAAGTACTGAGCATACATTTATTTTAATCTGAAATTATGATACAATTCTTCAAGCGCTCAAGAAAGAAAAATTCTATCTATGCAAATGACTAGGAAAGTAGGAGAACTTCATCCACCAGCACACGATCCAAGGGTTCACAGAGTACTCTCACATCATCATAACACTATGTGCAACTACAAACACGCCACATGCCAGTCATTATCAGACTAACATAGCAAATGTACAAAATTACATGTAAAAACTGTCATAAAAATAAGCATATACATTTCTTCCCTTTTGTACCAGACTATAATTAGCTTAATTAGTAAGTATTGTAATTTTCTATACATGCTAGAAAAATGGATGGTGTTAACAATGGAATCAATACTTAGTGAGATTAACAAATTAATGTTAAAAGCTTGCAGATACAAATCAATCAAAGCTTGCTTTTTCTCTGTAGAATTCTTTTTTTATTTTATGTGGATGAGGAGTGATCAAAAGAGGTACTGAATCTCCTGAAACTAAAGATACAGATGGCTGGTTATAAGACACCATGTTGGTGCAAGGAACTGGAACCCTGAAAGAGTTCCAAGTGCTCTTAATCACTGAGTCTTCTCTCCAGTCCCATCACGGAGTATTTTTTTTTTTTTTATGATATACAATTTTACTCAGAAAACAATTTTCATAACAGTGGAAAAGGCAGTCAAAAATAGTGTATTATTATAAACTTTACACTATTTTTGAAAAGGAAAAAAATCAAGGAAAATTAAAGCAAGAAAGTAGGTTTAAGAGCAGTCTCACTTTACCCTTGGCTAGACAAGCAGCTTCCTCTAACGCGGCTTCCAGCACCCGGTCCTGTTCCACCTGAGTTCGTTCTTGCTCTTCTAGTGTCGATCGCATGTCTTCAATCACCTTCTCTTTAGCACTGAGGTCTGTTTGAGAAAAAAAACTGTCAACAGTTCAATTCAAAATATCACAAAGAACTCAAATAATTTTAATAAAGAACAATTCAGAAATGTGTACAATGAAAATACTGAAATTTAAAAACCTAAATACAAAAGTATATCCAACATTAATGAAAGACTTTGTTAAATAGCAGTCTTCCCAACTGGAACAGATTTTACACAATCACAATTGCACATGGCTGTTATATAGATGTGAACAGACTGATCCTAAAACTCATGCGGCAATACGCAGCACCAGAGTCAAAACATTTTCACAAATGAGACACAAAAATGAGTGGCCCCACATTTCCCAATTTGAAAACACATCACAATGTTGCCATAATACTGGCATGCTAACATGAAGACAAATGGATCAAAAATCAGAAATGAAAGACCAGAAAATAAATCATCACATTTACAGTTGATTTATTTTTCAATAATGGTACAAAAATAATGTACTAAAGGAAGGAACAGGAAGCCAGGAAGTGCAGACACATCCCCAACCTGCAGCAGTGCCATCATGTAAAAGACCTGTGCAAAACCAAGTCAGACCGAATCCCAGCACAGAGAGGGAAACTGGGCACAGTGTCCCACCCACAGCTGAAAAGCTACTGGCAACGGTTACCTGCTGGGAAAGAAAGGTCAGCTTTCTCTAAGAGGATCCTATCATCCCTGGGAAGTCTGCTTTGCTCCAGTGGAAGGCCACACATCCAAATATATAGTGGTAGCCCAAACTGGCCTTGGGGAGGGAAGGGAGAGAGAGAGAGAGAGATGGAGATGGAGGGGGGGAGGGGAAAAAGAGGTGGAGAGAGAGAGAGGGAGAGGAGGAGGGAGGGAGAGGGAAGGAGGGACAGAGGGAGGGAGGGAGGGAGGGAGGGAGAGAGAGAGAGAGAGAGAGAGAGAGAGAGAGAGAGAAGGAGGGAGACAAAGACAGAGACACACACAGTTAAGAGGGACATAAAAAGAAAGGTAGGGTGAATCTGAGAATTAGGAGAAGCGTGAAGATAATCAAAACATATGGTATGAAATTCTCAAAGTGCCAATAAAAGTATTTTTTAAGACGCATTGGCCATTACCAAGAAATCAGTGTTGCACTGAATGAATATTACTTATTGCTTTTTTAATAATCAAGTTTAAGTTTAAAATTTAACCAGCAGAAGTAATGCTTTTCATCTTTGAAAACATACCTTTGGCTGCCATCATTTCAACATTTTTAAAGAAAAAATTATTGCAACTATTTAGAAGTCATTTTAATTCTAAAAGGAGGAACCCGGTTCTAACCTTTGCACACTCTCTCATACTGTTGTACTGTTTCTTCCATTTTGTGATTGTTTAACTGCTCCTAAAGAAATTAAGAATACAATTAAAGGCACATATAAACCAATACTTAAAAATAGTTAATAGTAGGTGTTGAAACACAGTCCAGGAACGTTGAGTGCTTCTGAAAATACTCCAAGAAAACAAGACAAGAATCTTGAGATCTGTTTCTTTAAAGCACGGAATTGTTCTTGGAATATGTTTTTGTTTTTGTGCACCTCCCAAGTGAGTTTACTTCAGATTACTGTCTTCTGTTGTTAGTCAATCAAATGTTTAAACTATTCTTTATTTCTCTGGGAAAAACATGGTTTTGCTACATGTGGCTTCTCCTTGTGACTGTACACAGCTTGAACCCATGAGAACTTTACTCATATGGCCTTTCTTAACCTTCAGAGTATAAACTCTGAGGCTCTGAATAAAGATGACTAATGCAGGAGACTTCAGTCCACCTCATTCATGCAAGTTCAACACAATTCTTACTCTCCAATCCCTCTCCAGTTCATCACAATCTCTACAGTCTATTTTACAATGGATCATTACAGATCTGGCTGGAGTGTCTGGATCTTAACAAAACAATCATATGGTACTAAGGTCTGGTGGCTTGAGAAGACATGACTTGCTACGAGGTCAGGATCAAGACTACAAAGTGACACTCTATCACAATGCAAAAGACAAGACCAAATTTTAATACTGTAAAAAAATGAATAAAAAACACACATTCTCAGTCAATAAAATCTAACAGGAGAATGGACCTCAAGCATCATTAACAACATAACTGCTACCTTGAGCTGCTGGATGGTCCGCTGTTTCATCTCTATTTCCTGAGAATACTGGTTTTTCTTTTTCTCCAGTTCATTAATTTTAATCCTCAATAATTTCTCTTCATCACGCATTACAGATACCTACAAAGCAAAATTTATAAGGCAAATTGAACATTTTAAAACTTTTTGCTGTTGTTTAAAATTTATGGCCACATCTTCAGATATGGTGCCCTTGAAACCCACAGAAAAGTACAGACAACGCTAAAGGTAAACACATTACGAAGTGACACAGGTTCAACTACTTTTTCTACTTCTGGTCTAAGCATGCTTTCCCTAATACTTTGTTCTTCCTTACTCTTTCTTCAGAGTTTCTTCTCCCCAGCAAGTGGCTTCCTGTAACACATGGACAATCTCCCTCTTAACTCAAGCAGTATTACTTTTTCCCCTCTTCTCTTTAGGTAGCTGTCAAGATGTATAGCTTGCCTGCTAAGTAAAGGAGAGGGGTGGGAGAGAAGGGAAGGGGAGAGGAAAGAAAGAGTCTTAAGATGTTTACAATTTTTTTTATTTTTTCTTTCTCTCTCTCTCTTTTTTCCCTTGCTCTTTTGGATTTGAAGATAGGATTTCTCTGTGTAACAACCCTGGCTGTCCTGGAACTCACTCTGTAGATCAGTCTGGCCTTGAACTCAGAGATTCACCTGCTTCTGTCTCTCAATTCATAGAAAGATACAGGGGGTAAAAAATATAGAGCAAAAAAAAGTGGACAGCAAAAATATGTAACTGGTTACATGTACTAACTTCAAAGAAAATGACTAGGAGAAATGGAATGGATTTTTCCCCTTCCTAACTACTTCTTTGTATGTTACACATTTGAATTGTGTAACTAAATTCTCTATTTTGAAATTATGGTCATCTACAGTCATACCACAATCAAGGTACCAAATCCCATCTAAATTAAATTATAATGAAAATTTAAGTCACTCTTTATAACCTAAATATGAAATAGAAATAAAACTACTTTCTGTTTTTAGAGAAACATGAATTTTACACTTTTTAAGGAAATAAGGAAAAGATTCCAGTCCTGTATCTAAAGAGTATATATTTTTACATACATGCATGCACAAACCTTCATATGGAGAAAGGTTCACTACCTGCAGCTGGCGAGGATCATTTCCAAAGCCATGATATCCACATATTTTTTCATCATGCTATCCTTCAGTTTATTTAAGGTGGCTGCATATTTTCTAAATTAATGGCAGTCATCATTTTTAGAAAAATTTAAGTTCACAGATTTCAGTCTAATCCTAAACTTGAAACCTAGGGGAGAAAATCTATACCACACTAAATTGCCAAAGGACTTTTCATAAAACCTACCTCCTTCTGTACCTGTTCAATCTGCTTTTTGGCATCAGTGAGTTTCTCTTTCAGCTCAGCATAATCTTCCTCCTTCCTCTGAAGATCTGCTTGGAGATTCTGAGTAAGAACATGGTTTGCAGCAAGCTCCTCCTTCAATCTAAAAGGGAGTAAGAATCACAAAATACTTGTCTAAGGTGAGGCAACATGGGCTGCTTAGGATCCCTGTGTGAAATGGGAACAAGTGGTACAGATTTTCACATGTAGACTGTGTAAACTAGCAATGAGTGCCTCAGAGGGTGTCATGTGGGCTCTTAGGAGTATAATTTTCACATACAACTTTAGTTTCTAGAGGTTTATGTGAACCAAGTTCAAGGGCTTCACTCATCATCTATTCTATAGTCTGCCAATTAATACGTCCTCTAATTCTTCAAATTTATGGAGAAAAATGAATGTTTGGAGCCAGCAAGATGACAGTGAACAGAGGCATTTGCTGCCAAGTCTGATGACCTGAGTTCAATACCTGGGGCCCACATGCTACAGGGAACAGGCTATCTCCCACAGGCTGTTGTTTGACCTTTGCAAACACGGGCACATGCACACAAACACACGAACAGACACACACACAGAATGTGAAATATTTTATATTTTAGATAGTTAAAGACTCAGCTCACTTTTCTGTTTCTTGTCTGCTAGTTTCTCTTTCTTCTTCCTTTAACTGAAGTGACTGTTTCATATCATGCAAATTATTTGTCAACTGTGTGATTTCTTCCTTCAACTTGATTTCCTTTTCATTTAAATCTTTGGTGCTTTTGATGTGATCCTGGTGATTTGCTTCCAATTCCTTCAGACTTGCTTCTAGCTTTAAGATGGCAGATTCCTTCTCTAAAATGCCTTGCTCTAATTTGGCTAAGCGCCTACACTCATCTTTCTGGGTCTCTACCATCATTTCAAGTTCCTTTAGTTTTGCCTTATACCACGCAACATCCCGAGTAAGCTCTGAAAGAGATTGCTCTCTTTCGGCTACAAGCTGTACTTGAACACCAAGACTAACACATTTTTCTTGCAGTTCTTCTCTGAGCTGCTGTATAAGACTTTCTTTCTCTTCCAGCTGGTGAACTTTATGCTTATCCTCACTCTCCTTAGCTTGCAACTCATTGTTCTCATCCCTGTAGCCTTTTACTTCCACCTGTAACTTTTCAATTTTCTCTTCCAGTTCCTGAATCTGGTAAGACTTTTTGGAGGAGGCCTTCACAATCTCTTTACATACTTCCCAGATGGCTTCAATACTAGAGTGGAAGGAACTTTCCCTACTGAGCTCCTGAATATGATAGTCTTTAACCCCTTTGCTTGACAAGTCATTACTTGGAAGATGTAGTGATGTGTTCAGCAAATTATCCCCTTCAGGACCATTTGACAGATCCTGGAGATAAAGTAAATCTATTTTTGAAATATGAGAAGGTGAATCAAGCGACCGTAGTTGATCTATTTTTGTTTGCATTAGCTGTATCTGTGAAACATTGCTTGTGATGCTTCTTGTAGCAGTTTCCATCTTCTGTGACAATTTCAGGATCCTTTCCTCCTGCTCTTGGTTCACAGCTCTCTGTGTGTGTAACTCAGCAACCGTACTGTCATAACTGGCCTGGATTTGCTCCACCTTGGTCCTCAGAGACAAGTTCTTTTCTTCAGCGAAACAAAGCTGCTGCTGCAAACTCACAACCTGTTCATTTAATTCTGTTTTTTCAACCTTTTCACTTTTGAGTTCATTCTCACCAATAATTAAAAGTCTTTTTAACTCTTCGTTCTTTTCTTGTAAAATTCTAATGCCTACCCCACTCTCTGAAAAAGACTGTTCTATTTCTTCACTTTTCTTTTGATCTTCAGTGACAGGTGAACTAACAAGGATAAGCCCTTAAAGAGAACATTGATACCAATTTTATTAATCTAGCAAAACATAACAAAGCAACAGTGGCATATAAACCAACATTTGCAACACCAGAAACATCAAACTTCTAATGAAAAACTGAAAAGAACTTTTAAAAGAAAACGTATACAACTTAACCCACTTATATTAAAAAGTATAGCTCCAGGTCTGAGTTGACAAAAGAAGTGTAACAAAACAAGGGTTGTTACTTCTGAGTACTCCCTTTCTTATCATTTCTAGTATTTATTATCTAACTTTATTCCACATAGCTTTATCAAACACCAAGTCAGCACAGAAGAGAAAAAATTTCAGTGACATTCTTCCTCCCCCTCCCCCCACCCAGACAAGGTTTATTGGTATAGGTTTGGTGACTGTCCTGGAACTAGCTCTTGTAGACCAGGCTAGCCTCAAACTAAGAGATCCGCCAGCCTCTGCCTCTCAAGTGCTGGGATTAAAGGGGTGTGCCACCACTGCCCAGCCTCAGTGACATTCTTTCTAGCAACCAACTATATCCAAAAGAACAGTTTCAAATTACAGTTACTATGCAATTGATTTACAAATTGAGCACCTTATTCAATTGCTTCATAGATCAAAGTATGAGAGAACTGAAACTGAGAAGTCATTCAAAATCAGAAGTTAGGACATATGGCCTCACCTTTCACTCATGAGTAAACTGCTAAATCCTGAGTATTTCCTCAGATGGAAAAAGGAACAAGTGCTAATGGCTCCCAAGTTGTAGATATAAAGATCAAGGTAAGTGCTGTGCTTTAGAGATAAGACAGCTATTAACATAATATGGAAAAAAAAACACAGAGCTCAACTAATTAAACATGAATGCATGGCGTGTTTGCAGGCGCAATGTTTACATCTCTAGGGTAAGGATAACTCTGCTGGCCCTTACTTTAAGACTAGTGCTAACAGGCTTAAATGATAGACTCAGCTGGTCAAGTGTTGGCGATGTAATCAAGAGGGCCCAAGATCAACCAAGAAAAAAAGCTGGGTTTCTTGGCACACACATAAAATCCCAGCACTGGGAAGGCTTACTGACTAGTTAGTCTAACCTCATCTATGATGCTAATCCTTCTGTACACTGTGAAAATGTGTTACTCTCATTAATAAAAAGTTGACTTGGCTGAAAGCTAGGCAGGATTTTCGGAGCAGAGAGAGTGTCAGGAAGGAGGAGTCAGAGGAGTCTAACCAGACTTAATAAGGACAAAACAAGCTTTGTGAACAACAGCATTTATCTCTGCTTGCTAACTGTAGATGAATGTGAACACGTGAGTCACGCTCTGGCAGTCATTCCTTCTTCACCATGATAAAGTAGACCCTTAAACAATGAACCAAAATAAACCCCTCCTTCCTGAAGTTGCTTTGTCATAGCAGTAACTAATATAGGTCAATATAACCTTATTCCATTACATTAGACCAAGGTCTACTTCATTTAACATGGCCTAACTTGGGATACAGTTTTAATTAGTTATACAATTTTAAGTTTATAATTTCTGGAGCTGGGTAGATGGTTCTTCATGGACAGCCAGGTTCAGTTCCCAGCATCCAGATGGTGGCTTAAGACTACCTGTAACTACAGTTTCAAGGGACCTATTGCCCTCTTCTGACCAGTTAAGGCACCAAACAGACATGTGGAGCACATACATACGAGCAGAAGGAATATCCATACACATAAAATAAATCATTAAAAAAAATAAAAATATTTATAATGTATATTCTCTAACTTTAAAAAAAGAGGTAAAATTTTGGTATTGCCTGCTGGACAGTCCCTCTGTATCTCTTTTGATGCTGTTCTGCTGACAGTCTTGATATGTATTTCTTGTATTCAAGAAATTCTCAAACTCACAGACCTATGCCTGAGCATTCCTAGGTCTAGGATTACAGGCACACACCTCAACATCCAGCTGCTAACCCCACTTTCTTAAAAATTGTTGAACCTATTTTCAAAATTTTTCCTATGTTTGCAATTGATTGCAATTGATACTTTCTTAATTATTTCTCAAAGAACCAATTTACCCTAAAGAGTCTAGCAACTCTACGATCTTGGGATTTGCTTCCCCTGCCCCATTTTTTTAAACCAATTTGACCTTTCTTAAGTATTTCAAAAAAAAAAAAAATCAATTTACATTATTTTCAACGAACTTTCTTCTAGCATTTTAAAATATAATTCAAGCACAATTTTTGTTAGTAACATTTGACTCAAAGTCTGTCAAACATCCCCTTTTTGTCCAAATGAATAAAAATGTAAAGTCAGGAAAAGAATGAGCAAAGGTTTAAGCAAAAACACATACTTGTTTTGAAAGTGAATTTTACCTACTAACAGCACAGAATGAAATATCAGAGAATGATAAAAGCTCAGTATCTAAAACCTTATTGACTAAATGAAAGACAATTTCATGTACACACATTCCCTGATAGATTAGATCATGGTATCTAGGTTTCCCTAAAGTATGTTCTTGGTCAGGCCATTTCCTGCTTGTGAAGCACCCCTGCAGGAGGCTGAGGTATCACTATTACCTTTCTTTGCTGGTGGTTCACCTTGCTGAAGTCCATCTTCATTTAATCTTTTCCTTCCTGGATGTGTCTGTGTTCTGCTGTCCTTGGGCATTGCAACTGTTTCATTACAAGTTGATTTACTGATGATTAAAGATGTATCAACCTAAAACAAAACAATTAAAATTAGATTCTAAAGTAGAATGTTACAACAAACACAGGAACTACTCACACTACCTCTCATCCATTGATTCACAAATTTGATGAAACTCTTTGTAAGTTGCTTCTTAAGTTTCACCCTAAATAACTGAGGACTCTGGCAACAGAGAGGATTTAGATAAGTATCACTAACGTCACACTCAAAACGTGCTTCAGATGCAATGGGAAAAGCTGTCGCCAGCTACTTAGGAGAATGTGGGAGGACTGTTCCAGTACACAAGTTCAAGACTAGTTACATACATACACTTTTATTCATCTATTTCCAGTAACCTAGCATGATAATTGGTAGATGGCAGAAGATGGTTTTGCCTGGAAAAAAAAGGGTTCCAGCCTTAAAAAAACCTAACACCTCATGTTCAGATAATCCAGGGAATGGTGACATTCAACATTTTAAAACACCCGACAATTTAAGATAAACAATATCACATTCTACTAAAAGAATATAACCTAGTATGTAATGACAGAATTAATTCCAAGATTGTCCAATAAAACTAAAAGACATAATCCCATTTGTACTAACACTTTAAGGAATGGAAGCTCTATATATGCATAAATCTATAAGTCTTGAAAAAACTGACTATGATTAAACAATGGTAAACAGATGAAGTGACTGTTGACTTGCTTTTAAACATTTATTTTTAGTTACAAGTGTGTGCACACGTGTGCCTGTGCACACATACACTAAGTGCAAGTGCCGAGAAGCCAAAGGCTGAGTCCTCTGGAACTCCTGTACTGGCCTATGTCTCCAATTCCAACATCTGCATTCTTTGCAACACATTCATTTATTGTGGATTTTTTTAAAGTACGTTTTTAAATAAGCATAGAGCCATGATTTACACCCTTTCATTAATCCATTAAATTCTTACCACGACAAAGTAAAGCTTACATTACCTGACTTGATGTCTTGAGCCCTTGAACTAAAGAGTCTGATTCTGTGAAGAGAAAGAACATTAATAAGAAAATTCTAAGTCTCTAAAAATAAAAAGCAATGAATGAATCACAGGCTACTAAATTATGTTAAATTCGGGAAAAGAAATTTGACACTGCAAATATTAAATTAAAAGACAATGATGCTTTTGAACAAACTGATGAACAGAAGCCATTTAGTAGAAACACAGTAGCGTCCATAAAAAAATAAAGAAAAAAGAAAAAGAAAAAATTTAACTCCTTTACGATTGGTCTTTAAGATTTCCTATAAATTAAGACTCTTGCTTTAGTTCTGGGTTGATTTTCTGTTTGTTTGCTCTCATTTTTGGGAGGTTTTCTCGAAAAATACTGACATAAAAACTAATAAATGTTTTAAAACTATTTATTTAGTTGTTTTTATTTGTGTGTGCACGTACGCACATGTGCACACACATGTGGGGCAGGTACATCTGTATACCTGAATAAAGCAGAAATCAGCCTTGAGTGTACATCCTTAGGCATTGTCCACCTTGTTCTTTTATAGACAATCTCTATACCCTCAATTACGCTAGGCTGGCTACTCACAAGTTCCAAGGGACTGTCTCTGTCCACATCACCAGCAGTGGAATTACAAAACCATGCCACCACACAAAGCTTGTTTTGTATAAGGCCTGGGTATCAAACTCGGGTCTTTATGCTTTCTACATGGCACCAACATTACTGAGCTATCTGTCAGCCCTAAAAACTATTTTTAGGCCAGGACTGGTGGCACACACCTTTAACCCCAGCACGCAGGAGGCAAAGGCAGGCAGACTTCTGTGAGTTAGAGGCCAGTGTGGTCTACAAAGCGAGTTTCAGGACAGCTAGGGCTGTTATACAGAGAAACCCTGTCTCAACAAGCAAAAACAAAACAAAACAAACACACACACACACACACACATATATATGTACATATATATACACACACATATATTTATGTATTTTTTATAGTAAATCACCATACAAATGATAAAAATGTTAAGATTTTTATATAGCTTAAAACATTTTCTAGTCACAAAGGTTTAAAAAAATGCACAACTCTCTATACTCCATTTTTTAATGTATTTGTAAAATGCAAATAAGGGTAAAACACATACACTTACCATTCTTTCTACTTTTTAGCTCTTCCTGGGCTTTAACTAATTCTTCTTTAGTTTGGGCTAATTCCTCTTTAACTTGATTAAATTTTAGCTGCAAACAAGCAATAGCTTCCTGGGGATCAGCAAGAGATGTAATATATAAATGAGCAAGTTCAGCCTGTTTCTTAATATCAGTGACATCATCTTGAAGAGAATCAATAATATCTTCAACTTCTACATAATTACGAGCTTCCTAAAAATAGCAGAAACCATACATCTACCATTAACAGTGGATTCATTTCATGTGGTAATACCTTAGACAGTTTTCAAACAGCAAAAACTCACAACTTAAAAAGTTACATGAAACCCCCAAATTCTCAAAATTTGTGTTTTAGTATTCACTTTCTAAAATATATAACATGAAGTTTATTTCCTCAGGAGTATATCACAAATCTTACTATAAGTTATTACAGAACAATTTTGATTACCTAGTTCAAGTATACCTTCAATCACATTGATTCTTACATGGTATTTTACAGTAACCCTAGAAATTAGTCTCTGTTCTCATGCAAAAGACCACATCACAAACCAAGCACACATTACAACATGATGGAATGCCCTTGAGAGTCTGGAGATCTCTGTCCCAGACCACTGAATCCAGTGGCTGAAGAACAAAGCATGTATCCCCAGAGAAAACCAAACAATCCCTCCAAAAATCCCTCTCAGCTTCAGTGGGGGCAGCAAAAATTAATCAGCTTTCCTTGAGGCAACCCATAGTACTTTTCCAACAAGGCAAGCCTTTCTATATATAAATAAATGTTTCTGTTCTGATCAAAACAATTAAGTGAGTGACCCTTTATATCTTTTTCTTCACAAATTTTAAGACATTTCCGAAAGGGGTATTCTGTAATCCAACAAAAATGACTGCCACTGCCTACAAGCAATGACTCAAAAAAAAAAAAAAAAGAAATGGAAACAAATGCCACACACACACACACACACACACACAAAGCTTTTCCAAAAATTAAAGTTTATTAAACTATTTGTGTCTAGCAAGGTGTAAGGAAGCCATGGAAAGAAGACTGTGGAGTTCCAGACCAGCTTGGGTTATATAGTGAGGCCCTGTCTCAGAAATACAACCCCAAAACACCACCTATTTATCTATATATTTCCAGTAATACATGCTTCATTACAATAAAGGCAAATAGTACTGTTTTAATTTTAAACATGATTTCTAACATTTCTCATCACTGACGTGGGGTATTAAATCCTGGTACCAAAAACTTCACTGATTCTTAATATTTTCAATAACATACTTCAGTTCCAACTTTCATGGCACAAATTGTATTTGTTGGTTCATCTTGGGTGTCACATTTTCCAACCAGGTCTTTGAAGATTGCCAGGCGACGTTCAGCATTTTCTTCTAATGTCTCTCGTTCCTGAAGAAGTGTCTCCCTTTAAAACATAAATTCTATTAAGGAAGCAATTTAAAGACGGGCGGTGGTGGTGCACGCCTTTAACCCCAGCACTCTCGGGAGGCAGATTTCTGTGAGTTCTAGGCCAGCCTTGTCTACAAAAGCTAGTTCCAGGACAGGAACCAAAAGCTACGGAGAAACCCTGTCTCGAAAAATCAAAAAAAAAAAAAAAAAAAAAGCAATTTAAATGCTCAAATGTAACAACTGTCTGTATAAAGAAGCCATCATATTCAAAAGTCACCTAATATAAATTAAGAAATGGCTATAAAATAAACAAATGAATAAATCTCAATTCTTACTAGCTCATGAAGAAATAACTTACTTAAAATCTGCTTCCCGTTGAGTCAAATACTGAGTGAACTCCTGTGTAACTTCTTCTCGAATTTTAAGTTCCAATGTTAACTTTTCCTTTTTTTCATGTATTAGCCTTTTTTTCAAGTCTTCTATTAAATCCAACAGTTTCTAAAATAAGAACATATACTTTACAGAAAAGGGTAAGTTCCAAGAGAAATATAGACTGTTCAAAGATAGCTTTAAAGTTTAGTCTATTATAATCGTGTCCTATTCACTGGGCCCATGCCCAGTGAATACTCCAAGATTTTAACAGCACAACTCAGAAGGAAAGGGCAGGTGGATCTTCTGCAAAATCCAGGCCAGACTGGGCTACAGAGTGAGACTGTACATGAAAATAGAAAAAGTATTCTGTTAGAGAAAGGGATATATGATTCACTGTAGCACAAGCTCAGACTCACACATATTACAATCATGTGTGCATGCGCACACACACACACATACACACACACTCATAATGACACAAACTCTACACAGTATTCTATCAAAATCTGAACCCCACATATGGTACAGAGCATAGAAACTGCTACAAATGTCGACCTTCCAAAATACCTAAGGAAACAGATAATTTTGTCGTCTTAGGCTTTTTACTATACATATATTGATGTGGGAGTGTCATATATCAATCTGTTGATTTCATTGGTTAAGCAATAAAGAAACTGCTTGGCCCTGATAGGTTAAAACATAGGTGGGAGGAGTAAACAGAACAGAATGCTGGGAGGAAGAGGAAGTGAGCTCAGAGACGCCATGCTCCCCTCTCCGGGGCAGACGCGATAGCTCTGCTCTCTGAGGCACACGAGATGAAGCTCCGACCCAGGATGGACGTAGGCTAGAATCTTCCAGGTAGGCGCACCTCGGTGCTACACATTATTAGAAATAGGCTTTTTTTTTTAACTGATTCTGAAGATAACTCAGTTACTCATGCTCAGGTAGCAAGTACTTATCAAATGAACTCTCTCCTTACTATCCCAATAACTTATTCTTACTGTTTTTTAACATCAAATAATGTCTTGACTTTTTTTTTTTTTGGATTTTCTAGACAGGGTTTCTCCGTAGTTTTTGGTTCCTGTCCTGGAACTAGCTCTTGTAGACCAGGCTGGCCTCGAACTCACAGAGATCCACCTGCCTCTGCCTCCCGAGTGCTGGGATTAAAGGCGTGCGTCACCACCGCCAGGCAATGTCTTGATTTTTTTTAAAAAAAATCCTTGTTGGCTATTCTAACTAAATAAATTCTAAGTATAAATAAACACGCTACTACCAACAAATTTTATTATAATTTTAAGGTATCTATCATCTAATTAAAATGCAATTTATGTTCACTGAGTAAAAAGGTAGTATACTTCAAATTGATCCAAGAGTAGGAAGCCTCATTTCTATTTTTGAAAATCAAGTATTAGCACTGAGGACGTATCCCAGGGCTAGAGTGTGCCTAGCACGTGCAAAGCTCCATAACATTTTTTTAAAAAGTATTTAACAAAATATTGGTGAATTTTTTTCTTGAAAATACCTACTATTGCCTTCAGTAAGCTACACCATTAAATCCTTTTCCTTAATATTTAGACTTTCTGCCCTCCCCCACTAGAATCAGAAACTTTAATAACAAGTTGACCCAACTATGACCCAACAAGATAAACTAAAACAAGACTATCAACAGGCATGTCATCACTGAGGAAGACTATTACAGAGAAAACAAGGTCTAAGGCTGGAAAGACAGTTCAAACAGTTAAGAACACACTTCTTTTCCAGAGGACCTGAATTCAATTCCCAGCATCCATGCCAGGCAACTCATACCTGCCTGGTAACTCCTGAAGTCACAGATATATTTATTTACACAATAAAAAAAAAATGTGTAAAATAGCAATGCCTTGGAAATGATCTGTCTTCTAGCTATTCTCAAGAACACAATATTTTATAAAAAGAGAGAGAAAGAAAATAAGGTCTGATCACATGGTAAATGGCATCTTAAACTCTCACTACTTCCCAACATGAGAGCTTTCTAGGACAATGATGCTAATTATTCAAATGAGAACATTTAACTTAATACATCATTCATCTACGTGCATGCAAGCACTGTAACATATATTATGCAAACACATTAAATTACACCCAGAAACACAGCTAATCAGTTTACAGTTTACTACAAAAGCCCTGTTATTAAGACAAGGGTATGAGGACTCTATATATAGTAGAGGAACAGCTCATGATCCAAAGTTTAGAATGAACACAATTTAATGCATGAACTGTATGTGAATACAATCCTCCCAAAAATTATTAAACTTTATGTACTTAGCAAGATTTTTTTTTTTTGAAGAAACAGAATCCCTGGGGTTAATCAAGATGGCTCAGTAGGTAAAGGTGTTTGGTGACAAGCCTGACAACCTGAGCCCAGCCTCCAGAACCCCCATGCTGGAAGAAGAGGGCTGACTGTCATGAGTTGTCTTCTGACTTACACACCCACTCTTTCCAAGCATATGCTGTGCATATGCTCAGTACAGCACTTAACTAGCAGATGTAAAACCTTGAGTTCAATTCCAGCACTACTTAGGAAGAAAAATCAAGTGTGGTCGAGTGCACCTGTAACATCTTCACATGGGAGATAGGAACAAGAGGATGAGGGCAGTTCTGGGGCCAGAGTGGACAACAATGCATGCTCTAAGCCAACCAGGGCCCCAGAGCAAGACCCTATCTCGAAATCCAAAACAGAGGAGTAGGCTGAAATACTTATTTGTAAAGTAGTCTCATATACTCATTTTGAATTAAAAATCCCAGGCACCCACATAAGCTAAGCACAGCACACATGTGTAAATTCCAGCAGTGGTGGGGAGACAGGCAGATCCCAGGAAGTAAAGAATCTACTCCACAAAGATGTTCTCTGACCCCCCACACACATTTGATATCGATCTGATCTCTACATGCACACAATCAAATAATCACACACATACACAAAAAGAGTCTCAAGAATGAAGCCTAATTTCAGAAAAAAATAGCCAAGCACAGAGATCTTAACACATACCTCGTTCTGGTTACTTTTGAAGATTCTATATTCCTCTAACGTTTTATCTATATCTTCATCAGTAAGTTCAGTTTCCATGTTCTGTGTTTCTTCACTTTTTTCTAAATCCTCAACCAAATCTTCATTTTCAACCAGATCTTCTAGACTATTTTCCCATGAAACAGTGGTTCTTCTAACATTTAGTATTTTACTATCCAAATTATTGTCTACTGATACATCTTGAGAAGATTTGATGGACTCAAAAGATTTCTCTTGAGAAGAACTTAAAGCACCTGGAACATACACCTGTTAAAATATCCAATGTGGCGTTTACAAGTGGAAAGACAAGAACGTTTTCTCTAAAGTAATTGTTTGAGACAGGTTCTCTCTGTTTAGCACCAGTCTGCCTCGAATTTAAGAGACCACCTGCCTCTCTGCCTCCAAATGCTGGGGTTATAGGCACCACTTCACCCAACCAAATAAAAACAACTTTATAAATTAGTAAAATTGGCTGGGTGGAGATGGTGCATGCCTTTAATCCCAGCACTCAGGAGGCAGAGGCAGGTGGATCTCTGTGAGTTCGAGGCCAATCTGGTCTACACAGCAAGTGCCAGGACAGGCTCCAAAAGCTACAAAGAAACCCAGTCTCGAAAAACCAATACACCAATAAATAAATAAATTAGTCAAGTTGTACCAGTTATCTGATTATTCTTTATCAATAAAAACTTGGGAGCCAGATATTAGGGTAAGAACCTAAATGATCGGAGAAGCAACCAGTGACCTCCTCTCTCTCTCTTTCTATGCAAATAAACATTTGATAAAAAAAATTACTAAATGAACTTTCTGGGAAGAAAAGTCTACTTTTCATGCAATCTACAGGTCAACGTGCCTACCTGCATTTTTTAAACCGTCTATAGCAAAGGCTTTCTGAAGACCATCACTCCTAAGTCAGATGAACAGTACAGTGGACAATTCATTCCAAAATTACTATGATCTATAATTTATGCTTATAATCAATATTTAGTATTAAATGCCATTTTACTCCTTTAGGAACAACATTAAATTTTTTCTATGTCTTTCTAGTTAGTTAAAGTATTATAATTTTATCTTCAAATATTTCCTAGGCTTACAGTAACATACAAAACATTACTTATTTCACAGAACCATTACTCAGGCACAGTAGCACACACTTGTAGTTTCACACTGAAAAAGCAAAGGCAGGGGAATGCTGCAACTGCAAGGCCAGGCTGGGCTACAGAGAGCTTATCTCAAAAACTAAAAGGCAAAGTAAACAAAACAAAACCCAAACACTTGCTCTTTCAAGGAAAGTGGTTAATAGTCTATGAGATATTCATAAGCTTAGCATCAATCCAAATACATTTACCTTTTGAGCTATGGTTGAGAACTTCAATACATTGAGTGTTTCATCATACGCAGAACAACACTGACTAATATTGATGATCATACATATTTTCCCTTTGCCATTGAAAAAACTTTGGAAATAGTGGGTCAGTTTACTTTCCCGGAAAGGCACATGCTGTTGAAACCTATGAGAAAATTTGAAAACACGGTAAGTTAGGATAAATTTCATGTATGACTAGAAATACGGCTCAGCATTAGTTCTCTGCCTACATGGGCTGGGCCCCAAAATTGACTTCCCATACTAAAGAAACAAATACTTTAGTTGGGCTGCTAATAAAATTTGTTTACTTACCCTTATAATAGTCTTTCTATTTTAAGAAATACTGCTAAGAATAATACAATAATCTACTAGGCAAAATGTAAAAGCCACAACTAACTGAATGGTACTCCCTATAATATAATAATTCTATGGCACACATCATAAAATACCTTGACTAAAGTTGTGAAGGCTAATTAATCTATCATTTAATCAGCTTAAAAAGATATGCTGTAAACTGTCACATCTACAAGAATGCATGCAATCTATCACTTAAAAATAAAGTGGTTACACACTGGGGTGTAGCTCGGCTAACAGAGTGGCTACCTAGCTCGCACACACAAGGCTCTGAGTTTACAAATATGGAATCGCACATGAGAAGTGAAAAGCAGAAGGACCACATGTTGAGGGTCATCCTCAGTGCACACTGAGTTCAAGGCTAGCCTGGGCTACAGGAGACCTTGTCTCAAGGACACACACAAAGAAGCTTGAGATGCTGGCTGAATCAACATCACAGAGACATGTTTTCTAAAGCATCAGTGTATACATGCTGTAGAAAATAATCATTACAGACACTGTGTAACAAACAGGTTTTCAGAAAGTACTTTCTAAAAAAAGCAAATTTTAAAATTTTTAAATTTTAAATCTTTAGAGTTTGATATTTATACTAATGACACTTACTTTGACTTTTCACTGTTCTTCAAAACACTGATACACTTTCCCAGAGTCAATAAGGAAGTGTTGATATTCCCAGCCTCTCTTAACCTTTCCCCTTCATTTTGTGTCTTCATGCTTCGTTCTGAACCAGCAAGATCACATAAAGACAATCTAAATTAAACCCCAAAAAAAGGTTACTATAAAATTTTTCAAAATGATTCAAAATAACTGCAATTTAAAGAATGTTCAACTTACTCACTAACTCGAGTTACACGGGGCATTTCAGAATCTTCTATCTGCAATATTCTAATAGTAAATATGCTGTGACTAAAAGAAGAAACAAAGACCAAGTATTATTGCTCCATTCCAACGCATGCATTCTACAGGAGACAAGCACCTAAATGGACAAGTTCAATCTATCATCTACCAGGGATACATTTTACAACTAGCTGCCAGATATGCCAGCCCTCTACTGCACTGTCACCTACACTTGCCCAATTGTCTAGTGTCACTGTATCACTTGCCAAACCCCAAATCCCTCAAACCTTCCCCTTTTAGGACTCCATTTCTATTAATAAAATCATGTGTAATAACGACTCAGTATGCAGCTATTAGTCAGGAGAAAGCAAAAAGATCTAAAGTTCAAGGCCAGCCTGGGCTACTAAGTGAGACCTTGTTTAAAAAATAAAAAGTAAAAAGATGGTTGGAGATGGATGTAAGTCAGGAGTAGAGTACCTGGCTAGCACACATGAGATCCTGGGGTCAATCTCCATGACTTTGGGGGAAAATAAGAATTTTCTTGCAGAGATCATACTATTAGTGAGAACATTGTGGTGAACAGATATAGTTTTTGAAAATATAAAAGAAAAACATAAATCTGCCTATACACAGGCTGCTGTAGATCACAGTACCACCCCACAACCATCTCACCTTTCCTCCTTAAGACAAAGTACTTTAAACATCTCCCTGCCAAAGCTCGTTCTGTCTCTGACCCCAATCCCACTCATCACAAACATTCTTCCTTAACAATTTGAGAGTATGACCTGAATAATTTTTCAAAAAGTACATATGCCAGGGAAAGATAGAGAGAAAGACTACTTTAAGCAGCTGGGAAAATAATCCAGGGCACTGACATAAAGGAAGAGTAAAAATAATACCTCAAAAACATCCTGCAAATTGGGAAACCTACTGTTCAAATAAGTGTCTAGTCCTTTTATCATGCCTACGAATTCACAGAACATCTCTGAGAACCTACTGGCCACATCTACCTAAAATCAGCTACTACATTTGCACAGACTACTGTCCTTGCCTGGGATTGTCCCTGAGGGCCCACTACTTACCTTCTACTAGAAGCATTGTTCAGTTTTGTGAAGGCAACACTCTGATGCTTCACTCCTAGTTTTAAAAGTCTGTATGCTTCTTTAGAATCAGATACCTGGATCCACTGCAGATCTTTAATAAAGAAGATATGCACTAGTTTATAAAAATGTAACATTTGTACTACAGTATGATCATTGCAAAGTATTTACCTAGTACCATATAAAATCTTTCTGTTGGTCACCCATCCTAGAGTCAACTAAGCTACTCCTTACTCCACAAGACATGTAAACATAAGGCAAGACATTTATATTTAAGTTATGTAAGCTCACGTTAGACTAGTAATATTTTAAAGTTCCAAATACAAAATAGAATAATAAGTATTGGAACAACCTGCATTTACACCAACAATGTAATTAACATTCAAGCAAACACAGTATCAAGCCAGACCCCCCCTACTCAATTATAATAAACATAAAAAATATTTCCAAAGCACAAACTCATTTTCTTGATGTTAAAAATGGATAAAAAATATTTCATTTCTGTTGCCTATCTATAGCTATCACAAAATTAGAAGTGAACTTTGAAACAATAAAATTAAAACAATGTTTGCTAATGTACCTTTAATAAAAGAATAGCCCTTTACATCTTGGGAAAGGCGTAGCATCTTTCTCTTTTGGAATTTAGATGATACAGGAACAAACAAATCATAAATACTTTCATTGTAAATCTCAAAAAAGGAAACCCACACAGAATATTTTATATTGTCCACATTCAGGCTAGATTGGTCACAATTGTTCATGGATTCTTCAAATTCTGGGATAGTCAAAGAGTTTGTTAAACTTCCTATAACAAAAAAAAAAAAGCATGAAATTAAGACCCTGACTTAAAAAAAAAAACAAAAATATAGAACTTAATATAACACCTAGACTCTTTCATTTCTTTACCATCTACATTAAAACATTTTAGGGAGGAAAGGAACAACTATTTATGGCAATTAAAGTTTAGTTCCTTTTAATCTTACCTTTTTATTTTGAAGGAATCAAATACAAATTAATGCAAAAGACAAAGAAAATAGGAACAATTCACAATTTCAATATTAGAGTCAAGGAATACATCTGTGATACTGAACTCAAATGAAACTTTGCATCTATGCACAGTTCATATAGCTTTCTAACACTTTGTAGAAACCACATTGTCAAAAATTAACACTAGGAGAGATTTTGATATTAAAACCTGCCAAATATATTTCATGATGAGCAAATTAACAAGGTGAGAAAAGAATCCTTACCACAAAGAATGTCATAACTGTCATTATGTATGGTAACCTAGAAAAGAAAGAGTTTTAAAGCATTTTTGTTGAAGTTAAATAACTGAGATATTAATTACCTATCCAACTAAGCCACCAACTAATTATAATCTTTCAACTACATAATTCAATGATTCCTGCTTACAGCTTACTTCCTAACTGAACAATAGAATCTCATAAGAAATTTGGCAAAGTATCAAATAAGAATATCTTGTATTATCTATTACAACCAGAAATATCTGCAAATATATATACGTATGCTCATTTAATTATTTTCCCTACACTTAATTAAGATAAGTTGCTTCTATGTGTAAAGATTACTTATAAAAATGTGATAAATAAGCCGGGCGGTGGTAGTGCATGCCTTTCTTTAATCCCAGCACTTGAGAGGCAGAAGCAGGTGAATTTCTCTGAGTTCGAGGCCAGCCTGGTCTACTAGAGCTAGCTCCAGGACAACAGGACAGGCTTCTAAAACTACAACGAAATCCTATCTCGAAAAACCAAAAAAATAAAAGTGATAAATGTTTAACACAGACATAAAATGACTTAACTATTCCTTTACTAGTAAACAGATGGCTAGTAACAAAATTTTGCCTGTACAAAGTAATACTAAAAGAACATCCTTATATATTTCATTCTAATTACTTTCATAAAATATATAACAAAAAAATGAACTGGTTGACATGGTAGGGCCAAACTGCCTTCTATAAATATTTCACAAGCAAAGCATGAAGAGAACACCTTCATGTTTAGATTTTTATAGATTATTGTTTTTAAGTAGATAATACATTTAGAAACTAACCAATGATTTTATTTTTCTTTATGAATTATGCAATTACCCACAGACCTCCATAATTTGCTAAAATACCATTTTATGAGACCATACTTTAAACTCCACTGATCAAATAAACCTTCCCTATTTCATCTTTAAATTTTTAAAATTATGCGCAGATGTGTGTACACGAGTTTGTACACTGAATACAATAACAGAAGAGGGCTTACAAAATACAGTAACAGAATTTTCCTGGAACTAGGGCTATTCTACAAAAATCAATCATTCTTTATTGCTGAGCCATATCTCAAGTTCCATCTTTCATTTTTCATTTGCTATGGTTGACCTGAAACATACAACCTTCCAACCTCAGCCAACCAAATGCGAATCACTTATTGTTAATATTACTATTACTATTATTATATATTATTTAAAATTTGGTTTCTAATATTTAAGATTTATTTTTTTTCTGTGTACGAATATTTTACCTGAGCTTAATGTACGTACGCAATGTGTATGCCTTGTGCCCCAGGATATCAGAAGAGATCTCAAATCTGGAACTGGAGTTATAGATGGTTTGTGAGCACCACGTAGATGCTGGGAATTGAACCTCAGATCCTCTGCAAGAGCAGCAAGTGCTCTTACCCTGAGCCATCTCCCTAGACACACTAATTTGGCGCATGGCGGGAGGGGCAAGACTTATAAAGATGAAGCCCAGGCTGGCTTCAAAGTTGCTACATCCTATCCTATATTCTTAGGATAGGATGTCCTTGAAATTCTGATGTGCCTGCTTATACCTCCGAGCTGCCAGAACTTCAGGGATGTGCTACGTTCTAGTTGTATGCAGTGCTAGGGCATGAATCTAGAGCTGTGTGGACGCTAGACAAACACTAACAAAGGGACCACATCTCCAGCCCGTAAATGTGGTTTTATTTCTTTCAATTCCAATTTGTGCTATCCATATCCTTTTGGATGTAGGGCCATCCAATTAAGCATGATTGACTGGCCAGGAACCCCACCCTTAATGAAAGCTAACTTTCCTTCCCCTAAAGACATCAATTTTCCACAGTTCCCAAGTTAGGGCTGGAGGCTCATGAATTCCCTTTCCCACTCATGCTAGACACTAAATTAATATTGTCCAGGCCACCACAAATGATGTGAATTCAAAAATAGAGAGATCCTGTCATATCCACAAGACACTGTTTCATTCTGGTCTCTACAAACTTTGGCTCTTACAGTCTTTCTGTTCCCTCTTTCAAAGCAGGTCCTGGGCCTTGGAGAGGGAGGTGTGATATAGATGCTTCATTCATGGCTGAGTACCCCACTGATACTGGCCTGTGTGGGCACCAGGCAAGGACATGTTATACATACATACATACATACATACATACATTCACGCATACATATAACACTAATACATAAAATAAAAAACAAGTCTTTAAAAAGATAGAAGTGAAGGAGGATCTCATATGTTTTCAAGGGTGGCACCAAATACCTGGACTTAAGAAATCCTCCTGCCCCAGAATATGGAATAATTTGGAACTACAGCACATGCTACCAGACCTAATACATGACTGTTCTTCTCAAAGTCTTAATGAGGAAAATCATTAATATTTTGAAAGTAATAATTAAAACAAATTAATACCTTTTATATCTTTAACAATAAAAATATCTGAAAACAGGGACTGGAGAGATGGCTCAGTGATTAAGAGCACCGCCTGCTCTTCCAAAGGTCCTGAGTTCAATTCCCAGCAACCACATGGTGGCTCACAACCATCTGTAATGAGATCTGGTGCCCTCTTCTGGCCTGCAGGCAGAGTACTGAGAATACTGTATACATAATAAAAAAATAAATCTTAAAAAAAAATAAAATCTGAAAACATAAAACTCAGGTTAGATGGTAAACTCATTTTAAAATTCTTTAAAACTAAAATAGTACTATCTTACATAAAATAGCATCCCTCCATAGCATACTATGTATTTTTCTATTTGTCAGTGTATTATGGTTTGAATGTTCCCACTAAAGTTTATGTTGAAACATAACACCACTGAGAATTATTAAGAGTTGATAGGCCAGGATCAGTAATTGGCTCCTTTACTTTCAATACTGACAGGTAGAGTTCAAGGCAAGGCTGCCTGGTCCACATAGTAAGTTCCAGGCTAGAGCTGCAGTGAGAACCCTGTCTCAATTTAGAGGGGGAAAAGGAGGTGATTAGATCACAACTGCTTTGACCTCGTGAATTAATTTATCCATTAATCAGTGAATTAATGGGTTATTTCAGGAACTGATGTGCTAAAAAAGCCTGTTTGGCTCTATACCTTGGCTCTTGTACACCCCGCCTGCCATGTGATGCCCTGGATCACCTTGAAACTCTGTACTACCTCCCTACCAACAAGAAATCCCTCAGCAGCTGAAAATTTTGATCTTACAACTTCCTGTCTTCAAGGTCAGTAAAATGGTTCAGAGGGTACAAGCACTTGCTGCTAAGCCTAAGAACCTAATCCAAATAGCAGAGAAAACAGACTTAAGTTTTCCTACAACTTCGACAAACAGACATACTGATGGACACATACACAGACACACATGCGCAAGCACGCACGCATATATTTAACTTTTAAAAAATTCCTGGCTGCAGAACCATGGACTAATTATAACTTTATAAACCACCCAGAAGTACTTAACTATAACAACTATAATAGTCTCCACAATGGCAATACCATATGACCTAAACATCGGAAATGTTGCTAGATCAGAGTACATTAATAAAAATTACATACTAACTGAATATTGAAAAACAAATAGAGGCCAGCGAGATGGCTCAACAGGTACAGTGCTTGCCATGTAAACCTGATGCTCCGATTTTGGTTCCCAAAACCAACAGAAGAAACAATAAACTTTCCCAAGTTGTCCTTTGACCTTCAACCTTTTACCTGGGCACCATATACTTGCATTCTCACATATGCAAACACATAAAAACTTTGTGTGTATATGTGTGTACATATTTAAAGAAAAGCAAAATAAACAAGAAAGTGAACAACAGTTTGGAAAATTTATAAGCTATTAATGCATCTAGCTTTTTTGTGTTTTGCTTGACTGAACTGTGTTTTATATATGCTATGCTAAAATTCTACCAAACACACTAAATCTACAGCCCTTATGACTTACATTTTAACAAATGAGTTCTTAAAAACAAAAAGTATAAATCAAATGGCAAATGACACCTGAAAACTCAGAGAAAAAATTCTAAGATGCCCTAAACACCTCATTTATAAAGAAACAAACTAAAGCTGAGTTGAGACCATTGTTAAGTGACTATCTGTACACTAGTAAATAACTCCCAGGTCCCAGGGTTGGGGCACATGCTTGTGACCCTAGCACCAGGGAGCTAAGGCAGAAGACTGAGAGAAAAGGACTAGCCAAGACTACATAGTGAAACTGTGTCCACAGAAGAAAAATAAAGTACCCACTGTTAAACTCAGTCTGGAGAAAGTAACAGAAAATACACCTGAAATAGAACATTTCCTCACTGAAGCAAAGCACTGCTTATAATAAGTTCAACAATATACAATTAGTTTTCAAGATGATTTTTTTTAAAGGAAGTAAGTAAAACACACTGACCTAACTGCTAATAGACACCAATGATTTAGCATACTAAGAGTGTGAATAAATATATATATATATATACCACTGTGATTAGTTTAATACAGAAGCTGACTGGCCAATAACTAACAAGACCTACCCCTGGCTACTACAATCCCTTCTCCTTTCTTCAGGACTCCTGAAACTTGGCCCAGTGCTTGTCTATGGATCTGCTTCAGTTACTGGATGAAGGCTCTCTGATAACACTTAAAGTAGTCACCAATCTGATTATAGTAGATGGCTAGTTCAGTCACCCTCTCTACTGTTGCTAGAAGTCTTAGCTGGGATCATTCTTGTGGATTCCTGGGAGTTTCCCTGGCAACAGGTTTCTCCCTAACCCCAAAATACCCACCCATATCAAATGTCTTTCTTTATTCCCACCCCAACCTGCCTCCAGTGCCCAGCCAGTCCAACTGCTTGCCCAATAGCTCCCTCAAATTTCCATCTCCCCTACCCCCTCTACTCCCAGCCCCTGGTTAACCCAGAAGACCTCTTCTAATTCCCCTTCCCAGAGAAATCCATCCATCCATCCCTCTTTGGGCCCCCCTTGTTCTCTAGCCTCTCTGGGACTGCGGATTTGTAAGTTGGTTATCCTGTATGTTATTCCTAGTATCCACTTATGACTGAGTACATACTGTGTTTGTCTTTCTGGGTCTGGGTTACCTCACTCAGGATGATTTTTTTCCTAGTCCCATCCATTTGCCTACAAATTTCATGAGGTCATTGTTTACAGTTGAGTAGTACTCTGGTGTGGGAGGTCTTTCTGTATGTGCTGCATTTATTGGTTAATGACCAAATAAACTGCCTTGGCAGCATAGACCTAGGCAGGAAAAACTAAACTGAATGCTGGGAGAAAGAAGGAGGAGTCAGGAGAAGCCAAGTACCTTCTCCAGAAGGCACAGACGGAACCTTGCATAAGCAACAGCCACATGGTGATATACAGACTGATAGAAATGGGTTAAATTAAGATGTAAGAGCTAGCCAATAAGAAGCTAGAGCTAATAGGCCAAGCAGTGATTTAATTAACACAGTTTCTGTGTGGTTATTTCGGGAGTCTGGGTGGCCAGGAAACAAACAAGCAGCCTCCTACAACAGTACTCTCCATTGTGCAAATGTAACACATTCTCCCCATCCTTTCTTTAGCTGAGGGGCATTAGGTTTTTTCCAGGCTATTGTGAATAGTACGGCTAGGAACATAGCTGAGCAAGTGTCCTTGTGGTATGATTGAGAACCCTTTGGGTATATGTCTAAGAGTGGTATAGCTGGGTCCTGAAGCAGATTTGAGAGAAACTGCCATACTGATTTCCAAAGTAGCTGTACCAATTTGCACTCCCATAAGCAATAAAACTGTTCCCTTTCTCTACATCCTCTCCAATATAAGCTGTCATTAGTGTTTTGATCTTAGCCATCCTGACAGGTGTAAAATGGTACCTCAGAGTCACTTCGATTTGCATTTCACTGATGACTACAGATGTTGAACAATTCTTTAAGTGTATCTTGACCATTTGAGAGTCTTCTGTTGAGAATTCTGTTTGGATCTGTACCCCATTTTTTTAATTGGATTATTTGGTATTTTGATGTTTAGTGAGAAATTAGGTTATTTTAAAAAGAATAAGATTTCACTACTGATTAAAAGAAAAAAACTGTAATCTATATATAACAAAGAGGGAGCAAAAGTGTAGGTCAATGAGAGTGCCTGCCTAGCATACATGAGACCTGGATCTAACCAGTATCAGAAAAATCAAATGTGAAAGTAACTACATATGACTGTGTATATCCATTCAGAAACAGAAACCCTCTGCATGTGACAGGTATGAGGTGCACTCAGTAAATATAGCACTCAGGAGGCAAAGGCAGGAAGATTGCAAAGGTGAGATCTGATGAACTAAACAGGGAGTCTCTCAAGAAATCAAACTGTCCCAAATATTCACTTTTCCTTTCCTACATTATTTTTAAAATTTTTCGTTTTTATTATTTTATGTTTTATAAATATTTTAAGCATAATACTAATTCTATAACAAAAAAGACCACTATAGTTTACATTTCTATTTAGTATTGTAATCTGCTGCCTTAAATATTAAAAAAAAAAAAACACCATGACCAAACACAGACAAACAAGCTAAAATTATCATGAAAGTTTTCAAAAAATTTCCATGATTTTGCTATTTTTGTACTAAAATCCTGGTGTACCTCTTTAACTTGCCGCAGCAATGCGCTTTTGTTAGCACCTTCCTCTTTCTCTTGGTCAGATGATAGCCTTAAGTAGTCTCTACATCTATGTGGCTTGAAGTTCATCTTCATATAAAGTCGTTCCTGAAGACTATCAAACAATACATTCAGTGTTCTAGGAAGAATGCCAATGTTTTCCTCTGTGCCTATAAAAAGATAGTAAAAGGGCAATGTTTTTGAATTTAAAAAACACCTTTGATACCAATAATAAAGTTAAAAAAGGGAAAATGCAAGAAGTTAAGGAATTATTAGTTTTCTATCATTTTAGTTTTTAGTTTATTATCAACATATTCTGATTCAATATCCTGAAATTTTACATTCAGATCTAGTCTTAATATTTATTTCCTATCACCCATAGTTATAAAATGAAATGTTTATTCCAGGCTTAATTCTCTAGAATATATATTAATTCTTAACAATATTTCCCTCTCTATCATGTATAAAATAATTTTATACATATATCTGAATTTAAAACTATCAGCTATATATATGACATGTTTAAAAAACTGAAGGGATACCAAGAAAAGATGACTAGCTAGTTTTCCCTGTGTGTCCAAGAAGAGTTTGAACAAGAAAAGAATAGAATACAGCTCGGGGAGTGCCGGAAGCAAAGACCTGTATTTTGTTTATGCCATCTTCAGTTCACAAGTAAAATATTCACCTCTATCACCTCTGCAGGGTAAGTTCTGGGTCTAAGAAATCTTGTCTCCCTATAAGACCTGCAGGCTCCAGGCTTTAGAAGCAATTAGCATTTCATTTGTTAGTTAATATCTCTTTCTCTCAGCCAGAGACCTTCCATACCTGAATTCCAACAGACTGGACTTTCCTGACACCCTATCTTCTCCCCTGCCTGTTTGCTATATGAGAAAAAATAAAATTTGCAGCTTGATCAGAAAGCCTGTCTTGCTGTCATTTCTCGTGTCTCTTGCCCTTCCATTCCTCCCCTCCAGGTTTATCAGGGACCCCCATTCGTGTCCCGCTGGCCAGGATAGGGAAGAGAGTACAATTTGAAAGTGCTTGCCAAGCAACAAAGTAAACAGACCTGAATACCAGTGTGTTGGGGAAATAAGTCAAATGCAGAAACTATTTCCTCTCATATGCAGAATCTAGATTTAAACTGAGAAAGACAGAGGGAGAACATAACTAAAGGAGGAAGAGGAGAAGCGATACTAAGGGAAGGCAAAAAGAGCAGTCTATGAAACGTGGTGTGTGGGTGTGTGTTTTCTATACATAATAAATATGTATATACATATGTGTGTGTATGTGGGTATGTATATATATACAATATGCAGCCAGAAGGAAAGACTATTTTGCAAGGAGGAAGAGGACCAGAAGAGGAAGGATTGGGGGAGTGGAGAACTGAAATAGGGGAAATGAAAAGAACAAATTATAATGACATATATGTACAAGCATGGCATAATTAAACCAATACTTTGATTTTGTTTTTGCTTTCTGAGATAAGGTCTCATCATGTCGCTCTGACTTAGAGTAGAACTCACTATGTAGATCAGACTATCCTGCCTCTGAACTCCTAAATGATGGGATTACACCAACACCTCCAGCTCTGGTACTTTTTAATATTAATTTTTTAAAGCCCTAAAAATATATACATATGCCTGATGGTGGTGGTGCACACCTTTAACACCAGCACTCAGGAGGCAGAGGCAGGCGAATCACTGTGAATTTGAACTACAAGAGCTAGTTCTAGGACAGGCTCCAAAGCTACAAAAAAACCTTTTGTCAAAAAAATAAAATAAAAAAATAAAAATATTTTAAAAAGACATATACATTTATGCAATAGTTAACAGATTCAGAAGGCTATATTAATAATAAAGAGGCAATGAATTTGAGAAGGCACAGTAGAGGTGATATAAAAGGAGTTGGAGGAGGAAGAAATAATGTGATTATATATTTTAATGAAAAAATAGTAAAATAAAAAATGTGGACTAGATGATGGAACTATAACAACATGTAATTATGAAAATACTGAATGAATATTAATGGTTTATTTTTCTAGTCAAAATAAGCAATATTTACCTTGAAATGTATACGTTTTTCCAGAATTGGTCAGTCCATATGTAAAGATCAGCCGACTGTGTCCTTTCAAGAGGTCTTTTACTGGCTGCATAATGCAACCCAGAAAGAACTCTTTTTGGGAAGTTTCAGGTCCAAAAACCTAAGGAAACATTTTTAAGATAAGACTTTTAAGGAAATTCATATTAAAAATTATTAAATATTTATTTTGAAATATTAATTCAAAATAAGTACCATATCTCTACCACCAGTATTTATAAATTTTTAGGATAAAAACTTCAAAACTGGCAAGGGCTCAGTGGGTAAAGGTCCCTGCCAGCAAGGCTGCCAACCTGATTTAAATCCCTGAGAACCACATGGTGGAAAGAGGAGGAAAGCCTCCTGCAAGGTCTTCTACATGCACAGCATGGCAGGCACACACAAGTAATCAAAAAAATAACTAAAAAAATTTCACACACCCAATCAATTGTTCATGAGTTTTAAAAAATACTTTTAATTAGAATAAAAAGGTCAATTCAGTGACTTACTCACTTCAAATTATATATTTACAGACCTCAGCTTAACTTCAGGGGGGAAAAAGTATATATCTCAGCACCAAAGACTGAAGTTCTTTGAGCATAAAACATGCACTCTACTGTACACAATTATACAATTGAGCCCATGTCAAGTCTTGCCCTATTTAAAAAAAATAAATAAGAAAAAAGGAAAAAGAAAAAAGAAACTATGACTTTGAAATAGAGCAAGAAGAGGGAGCTGGGGTGTTCTTTAGGGATAGAATATGAGCTTTACATGTCCACGATATAGCTCCCTCACACCACACAGACACAACCACACACACACACACACACAAACAAATCCCTGTTTCCCAGAGAACTCACTTACCCTAGAAAAACTAAATTTCTGTGCCATCTGTGCAGAGCCCTTCTCATTTAGCTGGCCAAGGATGCTTTGGGGATCTTTCAGCAGAACATTTTGTGAGTCCAGAACTTGTACACAGCCCTAGAAAACAGGCACACAATAATAAGAGTAGCATTTATTGAATGAAAACAAAATATTAAAATCTAAGTAAATTCAACACAAACCTCAGTCTCATGTCCTTTTTCTGACTGTGTGAATGGTCTTATTCGAAGGCAAACTTGGAGGTAATTTTTAGATCCCAAACGGTTTGCCTAAAAAAAAAAGAAATTAAAAATATAATTTTTAAGAGATTAACTGTCTTCGTATGATTATTTACACTTGTACTAGAAATAGCTCTACCCAGTGCAATTTGTAAAAAGACAGAGAAAACACACCTAAATTAGGAATGAAGACACCTTCTCACATACACAACCATCTACCTACAAAATCTAACAGTTACTAAAACCATTAGAGGTCAACATGCAGCATGATACAAATTAATATGCAAAATCAATTACTGATCTATCTGCAATTTATTTAAAAGATTTATTTTAAAAAGCAACACCATTCACAAGAGTATAGAAAATTCCAAAATAGGAATATACAAGAAAAGGCCTATAGACTGAAAGATACAAAACACTGCTAAAAAAAAAAATTAAAGAACCAACCCTAATAAAGAAGACACATCTTGCTCAGAATTTGGAAGATTCAATCCTGTTATGATGAATGTTCCCCAAACCGATACACAGATTCATGCATTCTTAATTAAGCATTTTCTTCCCAAGAGCTTTTATGAAGAAACTGATAAACTGATTAAAGTATAAATTACATAGAACAGCGAATAACTGTGAAAAGTTGGAGCACTGACACTACCTGACTTCAATATTTACTGTTCATGCTTCACAAACTCAGTTTCCTACTGTCAGGAAGATCTACTGGCATACAGGTTGGAAATCTTCAGCTCAAGATTTCTGTGACCCTGCTTTTATATGATCATATCAGTTATTTACTTAATTAGAAGCATTTTGGAACTTTTGCATACAATGGATGTTGTAGGAATTTAGCAGTCACTGTATGGGGTAGACATTAGAATGAGCAGATGTTTTTAGAAGTACTTTGGCCTTGAAGAACCCTTGTGGGAAAATGATTGTTTTCTGTGATTTATAGACTTGTTTTGTGCCCATCCCACGTCTTTAATCACAAGAAGCCTCAGGCACACCTGAGGCTCCTGTATTATTGTGTATTGCAAATGACACATATTAAAGGACTAGAGCCTTGGGGGCATGTGATGCTCTCCTTCAGTAGGACATGTACATTAGATTAGGGACCTCGTTATGAGAAATAATTTGCATTAACAATAAATAACCTTTGCACGGCTATTTGGGGTTAAGCCCATCAGAAAGGCTGAATCTTCCTGCTGCCACATAGGCCTTAAAATTTCATCCTGGATTGCCTTTCTTCAGGGGATCCATGCCACACACAGTGCACTCTGACAACGAAGACACTGCAGGTTCTTTCCAGAACAGCACAATAAAGCAAGCGCCACAATAAAGCAGAGCACATGAATATTCCACCAGTTAGTTTAAATACCAAAGGATAAAACCTGAAAATGCTTTTGCTTCAGATGGCTACCAAGTTAGGATACAGGTACCCACTGTCTAAAAATGAACTGTTGCCGGATGGTGGCGGCACAGGCCTTTAAACCCAGCATGTGGGAGGCAGAGGCAGGAGGAACTCAGTTGGAGGTCAGCCTTGTCTACCAAGGAAGTTCTAGGACAGCCAGGGCTGTTAAACAAAGCAACCCTATCTTGAAAAACGGAAGGAAGGAAGGAAGGAAGGAAGGAAGGAAGGAAATGAACAAATTATGTATTTCTGTTATGTATTTCTCTTGGTACAGGGCTCCATTGAAAACCCAGGATACAAGTCTGCTTTAAATATAGGAAGTTTATGGAAACTTTGCGAAATAAACACGTTTTCCCTGGAGCACAATAAACAGGATTTTCCTAACACTGTACTTACCCCAGGGTTTGCAGCAACTAAGGAAAACTCATGAGAGAGATCAAGCTTAATGCCATCAAAATTTATTTCCGAAGGTCTTGCAATTGGGTCAGCACTAAAAACATAAGATGGTCTAGGCAATCCATCTTGATTCAAATGAGATTCCATTCTGAAAGAAGAGCAGTAACCTCTTTAGACAAGTGTAATACATCGGTCTATGAGTCACCCACAATTTGAAGTCTACACTCCAGGGAACTTCGATGTAGTTCAGTTAGTATACTACTTTGCTAGCATGCACAAAGTCCTGGGTTCCATCCCTAGCACAATAAACAGGGTGTGGTGGCATGGGTCTACAATTTCAGCACCAGAATGGAGCAAGAAAATAAGAAGTTTCAGGTCATCTTAGCTATACAGGTGATCCAAGGTCAGTCTAGGCTAAGCCAAAGATCTCTTCTCAAAGAACAAAAATAAATATAATAAATAAATAAATAAATAAATGGTTGGGAATGATGGCCTAAGCCCAGTTCCCACACCCCTCCAAGGACAAAGCAGGTGGATCTCTGAGTTTGAAGCAAGCTTGATCAATATAATAAAGCCCTATCTCAAATCAACTGATTACTTAATATAAAAACTAAAGTTTTCTACTTCCCCCATCAAATAAATTGGATATCAGAGAAAAAAATTAGAGTGTTTCATTTACACTAACAACAAACTATGAAAAGACAAAAGGCCAAAGTATATTGACAGATTCCAAATATACTAATATTGACCACTACCTACAACTATTCATACGATCCAATTCTTAGGTAGATTCATCCAAAGACAAGCCATGAACAAATGCAATTAGTGAAAGAAGAGTATGAAATATTCATACCACCTGAAATCCTCATCTCATTAATCAAACAGCAAAGAGAATATGGGTTGAATCAAGGTCTTGGGTTATTTTCATTACTAAGTATCTTCTCAAGAATGCTGTAAACCAAATATTAACACTCAGGGCTGGAACTCGGTTATTTGCAAAATGGCTTTCAATTTGATTCTTCCAACTTTAAGTAAAAAGTGAAATAATGCATATAAACTTTACATTTAAAATAGAGGACTGAGCCGGGCGGTGGTGGCGCACGCCTTTAATCCCAGCACTTGGGAGGCAGAGGCAGGCGGATCTCTGTGAGTTCGAGATCAGCCTGGTCTACAAGAGCTAGTTCCAGGACAGACTCCAAAACCACAGAGAAACCCTGTCTCGAAAAACAAAAAAATAAATAAATAAAATAGAGGACTGGGCCGGGCAATAGTGGTACACACCTTTAATACTAGCACTCGGGAGGCAGAGGCAGGTGGATCTCTGTGAGTTCGAGGCCAGCCTGGTCTACAAGAGCTAGTTCCAGGACTGGCTCCAAAGCTACAGAAAAACTGCATCGGAAAAAAAAAAAAAAAAGGAAGGAAGGAAGGAAAGAAGGAAGGAAGAGAAATAGAGGATTGGATTGTAACCAGAGAAATTCTGGGTACCTGGGGCTCTGGAGTCCATGGGAAAGAAAGAAAGAGAGAAAGAGAGAAAAGAAAGAGAAATAGAGGATTGGATTTTAACCAGAGAAATTCTGAGTACCTGAGGCTCTGGAGTCCATGGCCAGGACAACTGCCTCCCCACGATAGATAGATAGATAGATAGATAGATAGATAGATAGATAGATCAGAAAAAAATCAGGAACTGGCAGACACAAATCTTAAACTGAACATGGAATAAAGCTATCATTTAAGTATTAAATCTGAACTGAACATGAAATCACTACAGGGTAAACCTGACCCCCCCTCCCCCCCAAAAAATGAAATATTTTTAAGAATCAACCAGATGTACCAAGTAGTGATGGCCTCACTCCTTTAATCCCAACACTCAACACTCCAGAGGCTGAGGCCAGCCAGTCCACAGAGTGAGTTCCGGGGCAGCCAAGGCTACACAGAATAACCCTATTTCAAACAAAAACAAAACAAACAAAAATCTACCAGATGAACAATACCAGAGGGGAAAAGGCTGCCTCTCTCCCATCTCTTTGCTTGTTTGTTTGTTTTGTGTTTTTTAAGAAACAACAATCTAAAACATCTACACGGAGATTCCCAATTTGGAAATGGTCATCCACCTACATTTGTTTACGGCTTCAAAATACCTGTCAACACAAGTGCCCAAATAAAACTGGCCCACTTCCATTTTCTTTATATACACATAAAACCCAAATAAGCTTATTTTCTAGCGTGACATAAAAGTGGCGTGACATAAAAGACTGACCTGGGGGGGGGGGGGGTGGCTGGAGAGATGCTCAGTGGTTAAGAGCATTGACTGCTCTTCCAGAGGTCCTGAGTTCAACCATATGGTGGCTCACAACCACCGGTAATAAGATCTGGTGCCAACTTCTGTCTGCAGGGACACATGCAGGCAGACCATTGCATACATAATAAATAAATTAAAAAAAAAAAAAAAGACTGGCCTGTGCCCAGAAAGAGACCTTGTCACGGGACGAAACTGCTCACCTCCAAAATTCAGAGAGCTAGATGTGGCAAAAAGTCTTTTCCTGTCCTAGGAAAGTATTAATGTCTTTAAATATAACCCGCATCTCCTTTAACAGAGCGGGAAGCCAAGGCCCAGAGAGATTGAAGTCTTGCGTGTCTGAACTACCTAAAGTTGCGGCTCAGCCCCCCCCCCCCCACCTGCAGCAGCCCCGCTCCCAGACCACGGGCGTGCGTGACGAGCCCGGCCCACGCTGACACTGCCGCGGTGTCGCAGCCTCAGCGCTGTGCAAGCAGTCACCCTCCTAAGCGTCAGCTCCTCACCTGCAGCATCCCCGGCCTCCGCCAACCCCGCGAGCCGAGCCAGCACCACTCCGTTTTCAAATTCAAACAATGGCGGCCAGCAGCGCACTGAACCCTGGGAGCGGGCGGGGCTTCCCGAGAGCCCTAGGAGCTGGGCTAGCGCGCGGGGGACTTTTGCTGGGGCTTCCGGAAAAGGCTTTCAAATCTGGGGGCGGGACTTGCTGGCTGGGCGACCAATGGGCGGCCTGGCTCGGGCTCCTTCTCCGGGTTTCTCCCGACCGCGAGTGGTGTGGTTTTTTTCCAGATTCGGTCCTTAAACCCTGGGAGGTGACTGTCCCGAGCTGAGGCCGCGGCCGCCACACTTAGGCCCGAGATGCGCCCAGGCGGGGACGAAAGGCGGACTAGTCACCTCCGAGTCGTGTCATTCCGGGGCCAGAAAGGACTTGCGAACCTGCACCAGGGTCACTTCAACGTGATCCTACCTGTTGTGGACGAGACAGATTTTTTTCCCTCAAAATGCATTTTAGAAGCATTTCCTTTATGTTTTCTGTTGTCGAGGATGAGACAGATTTTTTTTTCCCTCAAAATGCGTTTTAGAAACATTTCCTTTATCTTTTCCTTTTCCTTTAGGCTTCTCTGAAAGTATTAAACCAGCTACCGCTGCGAGGCGTTGTACTGTGACAGTTTTACCTTAGGCACGGTGTTTGCAGTGCCCAATTTTGGGTAAGTGCCCTGCATACTTCTCTGCTTTGAGTGAGGTACTAATTTACTAATACATTCATGTGACAAGGATTTACTACTGAGGTTAGACTTCGCTTTGAATAACGTAAATTTGAGCATTTACCTTACTCGTCCTCTGGCACTAAATTTATGAAAAGGTCATATTTTATTGTCAGGTCAAGAGAGCACCTTTTAAGACAGGTATTGCTATCGTCCCTTTTTATACATTCTAAAATACGTAATGGGCACAAAGGCAAATGGAACCGACATTCAAATTTAGCTGAAGAGTTTTGTGGCCCCGCTTTCCTGTAGTCCTAGTTCCGCCTATTTTCTTGCTTGAAAGCATTCACGCTTGCTTGACAGTGTTTTCCACCCTTGATACAGCATTTATATCTCCCACGGACTTCTCACTGTCTCATTCAATTTACCCACTCCACCACACCCCCTGCTGTATAAAATTTGACAACTAGTTTGGAATAGAAAAGTAGATACAAGGCCAAAAGGAAAAATGAACAAAGAAAAGTAAATGTAAAAGGAGAAAAGATCAAATTACAAACTTTTCCTTTCCAAGCTGGGATTTAAGCTTTTTTTTTATTTTATTTTTTTTATTTATTTATTTTTTTCTGAAACAGGGTTTTTCTGTGTAACATAGCTGTCCCGGAACTCTCCCTGTAGACTAGGCCTACCTCAAACTCACAGAAATTCTCCTGCCTCTGTCGCCCTTGTACTGGGATTAAAGGTGTGTGCTACCACCACCCAGCTCCTTTTTTGTTTGATTTTTTTTTTGTTTGTTTTTGTTTTTAACAAAAGGTTCTTCTAGGTAGCTCTGGCTGGCCTCAAGTTCCGTACCTTTCTACCTCAGCTTCTTTTCAATGCTGAAATCATAGAAGCATTCCAGTACCGCCCAGCTGAATGTCAATCTTTAGTGGACTTTGCTAATTTTCATTGCGCCGGCAGATAACGTCTTGTTCCCTGGATCGAAATTGTCTACCATACCTCACAGTGCCGTGTTGCTTTTGCTAGTTATTTCCAGTCCTTCATGTGGCACCTTTAAGTACTGGTTTGGCAAACATCTGTGGAAATTTTACAATATTCTGAGGTTTAGGGTGACAGAGACGCTAGGTGAGAAGGGTGAACACAAAAACAATGCCTCCTAAGGAAAGATTCTGATGGGGCAACAGTCAAGTCAAAAATTAAATAAATGAAACGATGCTAAGTGGTCTAAAGGGAATTGTCTTGGGGCTACTAGACTGTGATGGGGAAACCAGAGCAAATGTTTGATCTGTATCATCAAGGATCATTAGGAATTAACTAGGTAAGAAATGCAAACATTCCAGGCAAAGAAAAAACATGATACCAGGCACAAAGGGACAGAGAGAAACAAAATCCAGTGGATCACCTTTTATTTGATTCTTATTCTCTGCAGCATTTCCAAGTTTCATGCTTGAAACACTTCCCTGGGTTACTCGGGTCAGCCCTCTCCCTTTGCCCCTCTGATCTCAACCGTCACAGAGTCTGCTTTCTCTTTTACCCCAGCTCTAAAAAAGAACATCGAGTCCTGAGACCCCTGCTTTCTCTACTGTCTAGTTAGCTTTCTACTTGACAAGTTCATCAACTCTTATAAACAACATACAGCTGGTAAATTATTCTCAGACCTTATGTCAGCGATCTAACTACATGAAAATATTCTACTACCCACTTAATGAAGTGTGACAGATTCCTACATAACATGAGCAGTGTAAGAGTTCCACTGTGGTATCCTAATTTTTTTTCTCCGTGGTTTCTTCCGTCTTGTAAATGACTCCATTGAAAACCAGGGACTCATCATTGTGTTCTTTCCCTTAGCACTCAGTACATAACCAGTTCTACATCCTGGCACGTTGTTTTGTTTTGGTTTTTGAGAAAATATCTCATTCTCTAATGCAAACTAGCCTGGATCCCAACAGTCCTGCCTCATCCTTTCCACTGTTGGGATTATAGGTATGAGCCACTAAGACTGGCCACCTTGGAGTGATTTTTATAAATTTTTTTATTTTTCATACATTTTTTATTGATATTTATTGAGCTCTACATTTTTCTCTACTCCCCTCCCTCCTTCAGTCCTCCCCCAAGGTCCCCATGCTTGCAATTTACTTAAATGATCTTGTCTGTTTTAACTTTCTACTTCCCATGTAGATTAAATCTATGTAGGTCTCTCTTAGTGTCCGCATTGTTGTCTAAGTTTTCTGGAATTATGGTTTGTAGGTTGGCTTTCTTTGCTTAATGTTTAAAAACCACCTATGAGTGAGTACATGTGATAATTGTCTTTGTGTCTGGGTTACCTCACTCAATATGTCTTCTAGCTCCATCCATTTTCCTGCAAAATTCAAGCTGTCGTTATTTTTTTCTGCTGTGTAGTACTCCATTGTGTAAATGTACCACATTTTCCTTATCCATTCTTCAGTTAAGGGGCATTTAGGTTGTTTCCAGGTTCTGGCTATAACAAACAATGCTACTATGAACACAGTTGAGCACATGTCCTTGTGGTACGATTGAGCATCCTTTGAGTATATACCCAAAAGTGGTAGTGTTGGGTCTTGAGGAAGGTTGTTTCCTAATTTTCTGAGAAATCACCACACTGGCATCCAAAGGGGTTGTACCAGCTTGCATTCCCACCAGCAATACAAGAGTGTTCCCTTTTCCCCACAACCTCTCCAGGATAAATTGTCATCAGTGTTTTTGATCTTGGCCATTCTTACAGGTGTAAGATGGAATCTTAGAGTTGTTTTGTTTTGCATTTCTCTGATGTCTAAAGATGTTGAGCATTTCCGCAAGTATCTTTCAGCCATTTTAGATTCCTCTGTTGAGAGTTCTCTGTTTAGGTCTGTACTCCATTTTTTAATTGGATTATGTGATCTTTTGATGTCCAGTTTCTTGAATTCTTTGTATATTTTGGAGATCAGACCTCTGTCTGATGTGGGGCTAGCAAAGATATTTTCCATTCTGTACGCTGTCATTTTGTCTTGTTGACCTTGTCCTTTGCTTTACAGAAGCTTTTCAGTTTCAGGAGGTCCCATTTATTAATTGTTTCTCTCAGTGTCTGTGCTGCTAGGATTATATTTAGGAAGTGGTTCCTTGTTCCAATGCGTTCAAGTGTACTTCACATTTTCTCTTCTATGAGGTTCAGTGTGGCTGGCTTTTTGTTGAGGTCTTTGATCCATTTGGACTTGAGTTTTGTGCATGGTGATAGATATGGGTCTATTTTCATTCTTCTACATGTTGCTATCCACTTATGCCAGGACCACTTGTTAAATGTGCTTTCTTTTTTCCATTTGATATTTTTTGCTTCTTTATCAAAGATCAAGTGTTCAAAGATGTGTGGATTGATATCCGGGTCTTCTATTTGGTTCCATTGGTCCTCTTTTCTGTTCTTATGCCAATACTAGGCTGTTTCCAGTACTGTAGCTCTGTAGTAGAGTTTGAAGTCAGGAATTGTGATGCCTCCAGAAGTTCTTTTATTGTACAGGAATTTTTGGCTATCCTGGGTTTTTTGCTTTTTCATATGAAGTTGAGTACCAGTTCTTTCTAAGTCTTTGAAGAATTTTGCTGGGATTTTGATGGGCATTGCGTTGAATCTGTCCTTGGAGTAATTTTTAATTTTAAGATTTGTGTTTGTTTATGTTCATGTATGTTGCCCTGCATGTATGTATGTGCAGCTCTTGTGGCTTCACTTCCCACTGTGTCATATAAACTGTAAAAGATGGCTTGAGGCTTCACTACTAGCCAAGAACCATATCTGTGCAAGGTTCTCTGCCCTTCCCTACCAGTTTTTTCAAGTTGTTGGTTTGAACATTGACTATTTCTTTGCCTTTGTATCAATGATAAAATAAAAATCTCAGTTCAAAGTCAATGAAGATGATTCTGACTATGAAGACGGACACAAGAAAGGAAACACAGTGCTGACATTTCAAGGCCTTCCCTCACTGCTCATAATCTGTCAAATACACAAAACCATACCACCCAATGGAAGGTTCTATTTGGGATTACCAAAATGCAACTGCATAAGATCTAAATGGAAATGCTTACAGAGATCACATGTGGCATTGGGTTGGAAACAGCACAAGGTGGTGCTAATAGACTTTACACAGTGTCCGTGGCAACCATCACAGGCCTGCTGCTGACCTCTAGCTTCCTTTAGAAACAGTAGGATCTATGCCTAGGTGACCCTTTTAATTTAGAAAATGTTTGAATATGCGTTTTTGATACTTCAGTTACCCAAGAAAAGATGTCTTAGATAACTTATTAATTAATGGGAGCTACCGAATTGATATAATTAATTGCTGAATTAATTAAGACTAAAAGTTGGGTGCAGTCGTTCTCGCCTTCAGTCCCAGCACTTGAAAGG